AAGCGCTTCGCGTATTCCGCCCCGACCCGCGGGCTTCTTTCACCAGCTCGATTCGGCTTGAAATTTTTTTTAATATCGCGTGGTAGCCGCCAGGATTCCTTTTTCGCTATTATGGGTAGCTTAAAAGGAATTGTTAAAAGTTGCCAATACATCCAAAAAGAGCGTTTTAGAAACTACGACCCCTAGAAGCACCTGCCATGCTGACAAAGATGGAAGCGAGATATCGATGTATCAAAATGATGTGATCAAAAAGGTATAAACATGAAAAATAGGGCCTTATAGATGGATAAGCCTTTAGCACTCACCCAATACTGCTTGCGGCCGGCCCGGTGGTGGTTGATTAGTATTCGGATGAAATTCGGACCGCGATTCGGCGCTAGGTGCTTGATCTGGAAGGGAAAAGGTGGGCACTGATATATTTGATGTTTACAAGCCTGTACGGATCTCATTTTTGAATTTATAACCGTCAAAATTTATCTAGGATGCTGTAGCGAGGTGTTTTGGATATCTACAGCTTTCTAGAACATTTTTCAGGCGAAAAGTCCGGTCTAACATGTTCCTGGTTTCTTCTACAGCTTTATAATCCTAAATTCAAAGATTCGTACATTTTTAGAGCATAGTAAAGGGCAAAATGTTGAAGAGAACCTTGAAAATTTTGTCGGATCTTTATAAGCATACTTCCTTGATTTTCCAAAAAGAAAACCACCAAAATTAGCCTAAAACAAGAACGTACCCGTGCATCGTAGAAGTAGTTGCCTATCCGTAGCTTGACCTTGTCACCAACGGCATATTCCGGTGGCATAAACTGACGGAGGTCTGAGAGACCGGCCTCTGAAAAAGGTTTGTTCAATTACCAGCTGACCGAGGCACAAAACGAGACAAAAGCCACGAAAATAAAGAAGTCGCTAGGGGGGAAAGGACCAACTTTTCGGCGGGCAAGCATTGGCAAAAGAATCGATCGAAAAACGCGGGCGGAAAGACCGGAAAACGGGCCCCTAAACAGCTGAGGGGGGACATTTGGGGATTGGGAGTATAGGTAGGTAGCTATAGCTGCAAAACAAACTCTACAACCCGCTCGATAAGGGGGGATTTTGAAAGAGTATGCGGGATCTCGTTGCTTGGCGTTTTTTAAAGCCACCTCTACTGTTTTAGAGGAGGGTTATAATAATTTTATAGTAACCAAAACCTAAACGAAAATAGGTATTTTTGAACGTGCCGAACAAAGCGCCGGGGGCGCCTTCTCAAATCCATGGCGGATAGATTTGCCGGCGCAAACCACCCGGTGACCGGCACCCAAAAATAGGCGAGATAATGGGGCCGGGGTGGAGGGCCCCGAGAAATAGGGGGCTGACGGGCGATTTTGCGCTTGACTTGAGCATTAACAGCACCAGTTCTCGGACAGATGTACCGATTTTGAACGTTATTACATTGGAATGATATGCTTAAGGCATTATTAGCAGTAGGGTAGCCCGAAAAATCGTTAAAATAAAAAATAGGTAGAAAAATGCCGAAAAAACAATAAGTTTTTCTGGGGGAAATCCGGCCTCTTTTTCCATTTGAAAGTTTTCAAAATTGTAAAAACATAAAAGAAAGATCGTATTTCCCTTCAAATCATTTTGAAAATCCTTGATCGCCTGCTAAACCTGACAAAACGACATAAAATTTCTTGCTTTTCAAGAATCTCCCACGTTAAGAAAGTATTAAATAGAACCAAAAAGCCTCGAAAAATAACGAAAATTACTTTAAAATGCAACCAAAATTCAAGCATACTTGTCGAGAAAGTTTTCAAGCCCGCCCGGGTGGGGATCACGCGGAATTGTTGACCCGCGGCTGGACGGGGGACACGCACAATGCCCCGTAGCCCGAATCGATATATCTACAGCCCAAATCGGGCCAGTCTGCTCCGATTCTCGACCCGTTCCACGAACGGGCCGACGATTCACACCACCGATATCTAGCCGGACAACGGACGCCGATCTCAAGGCGTCGGCATTTTATTTTGTCGAAATTGCGCCGTCGAAATTTCATTTGTCTATATTCTTCACTTCTTTCAAAACTTCGTTGTCGAAAATCTTTCTAAATCTGTCAAAGTCTTGAACATTCACCCTGTCTAAAATCTATCTTTAACTGCACCAGTCAATTTTCAACAAATGAAATTGCCAAGCAATGCTTTTCGACCTATTAGAATGTCGAAATACGAATTTTCGACAATCTCGAACTTCTACAAAATGATTTTCGACAAAGCGAAATCTGGACAAAATGATCTTCGACAAACTACATTTCGGCAAAAATCAATTTCCAACAAAAATCCATAAAATCCTGCCCAAAAAATCAATCAACCCGTCACCGGTACACCTGATAAACTTGTGGCGAAAGGCGGTTTGCCCTTTTGTCTCTCTTTCCCTTGTTACTATGACGCTGAAAGAGCATGTCGCGCTTTTGTCGGAAAAGGCTAATTATCGCGCGGCAAAAAAGGAAACAAACACATCTTTCTTAGCGTTTCTACAACTTCTAGCATGTTACGCCTTCCATAATCCACTAAATTCCCCTTCTATTTCCATACATTAATTCCCGACCCCATGCCATTATTAATACATTTTTGCATACTCGGGGCAAGACGCGCGGCGCTGAATATGAAATCGGCAATTCCCACGCCAGCCGGCTGACCGGCTGCCCGGAAAGACGTGCGGCCGAGGAGAGAAGAAAGAAAAGCCGGAAAGAATGAAGACGGCCTACTTTGGCCGCTCGCCCCGCAAAACCGGGGGGAAAGACTAAATTTTTTCGCGCGCCCCCATTCCGGGGCTAGCCTCAATCCCCGCGACGAGTAGATGCTTGAAAAAGGGTCGATTTTCATCAAAATTCAAGCTATGAAAAAGGCAAAAAGCTGAAAAGGTCGTGTTTTTCGACGTATGAAACGACTACTTAGCAACGGAAATGGCAGGGAAAAGACGGTTGTTAAAAAAAGTGGCGGAACCGAGGAAGCGATTCCTAACCCAACGCAGCCTTTGTCAACCCGTGAGACCGAGCCTTTATCTATCGATTTGTAATGGGGAGGCTGGCGGTGAGGAGGCGAATCAACAGCCTGGCAAGTTTTGATCAGCTACTCTTAACGGAAGCGCTTTTTCTAGATTTTTAATGTAATTTTTAGAGGTCAAATCCCATTTTTTAGACGCTTTTCTTTGTAGCGCATTTTTGTTTATATTCCCCTGCCGGTTCTGGTTCATTAGCGGGGGGGGGGTTTACGCGATAGCTTGGCTCCCACATATTCGCATTACATTATTTTGGGCTAAAATTAAAGCGCTTAGTATAGTTTATTAATGATCTATCGAAACCCGCGTAAAAGATGTCGAGATGTCGAAAACTCGACAACAATATTTTTTGCGGTTTCATCAAAAATTTGTAGCATTATTTGAGGCTCTATCGAATCACTTGAAATAATCCCGACAAAATAGCAAAAAAATCGGACGATCGGGGCCATCACCCCCCGCTAATAAACCAGAACCTTTCCGTCTACCACCATTTGATGCCCTGCCAGCACCGGGGAATCCCCCCGGCGTCTTCGCATCATTTCCCCATCGCTCTTTTGCTCGCTGCATATATTCTCACGGTCTTTTTCCCAGGCTGTGCCGGCTGGGCAGGGCAAAAAGGGGCCGGCTCGGCATGGGAAATTCAAAAAGCGCGCCGGAAAAGGCGCGGGTGGGGGCCCGCCCGGTGGCAGCCACCGGTAAAAAGGCGGGGCGCATTGTAGAAACTAGAAGACAACGCGAAAATGAGAGACGTTAGATAACGGGCTTTCACCGCCCGGGCAAAGCTATGTGCACGGGGGTAGAGAGCCACCAACCAGCGGGCGTATTGATCGTGACGCGAAGCCCGTCTCGTCTCCTCTTCCCCGCCTCTCTACCCTTCTTCCAGCCGGTCCCCCCAAGCAACCCCAGCAGCCTTCCCCTAGCGCACACCTCGGCCTCGTCGCCAACCTCACCCTCAGCACGCTCTTTCCGGGGCCGGACGCCTGCTAGCAGTCACCTGTCGCGCTGTCTGTTTTGCACACTTGCACGCTCTCTCTCTCTCTCTCTCTCTCGCCCATCCTCACAACGCCCAGTTCCGCTGGACGGGCGCTGACCACTGGTCAGCTGGGACGCGCGCCACCCATTGTTTGCTGGGCACCCCCCGGTGCTGGTCTGCTTTACCCCCCGAATTCCCGATTCCGCCTTTTTTTCTGAAGTATTTCATGAAGCAAAAAATGTATATCTTAACGCATAGTTTAATTTAATCATATCAAAAATTGCCAATTTTCAGCGCCTATTTTAAAAACCTGTTAACATTTTTAACGTCTATCATGTGTTTTTGTAGCATGTTTTGGCAAATTTTACGCTTTTCATGACGGGTTTACGCGCAAAGATTGTCGATATTAAAACCATAGTTTAATTTTTAAAGTGAATTTCAACGCGTATTATCATACCTTACCAGTTTCTCTTGTCCACGGTAGCTCCAGTTCATGTTTGAAACTTGCAAGCAAGCAAGCATTTTCAGCGCGCATTCTTATATTTTGCTAGTTTTTCTGACATGTATGTCTACGATGCCTAATTAGGAGCAAAAAAATGTTTGAATAGATAACAACGGTTCAAATAGTTTTTTTTTTCTGCCTCGGGTTGTTTTGAAAATAATAACGCGTCGCTCGTCTCCTACAAATTTGTTTATAAACAAAACACCGGCTGGCCACCCCCGCAAAACGTACAGTCGTGCGAAACACCTTTATTTCATAGAATCCTGCCCCAAACGCGATTTCCAACGATTTCTGATAAGCCCGTAGCCGAGCGGAAGCTTTTTTCGTCATTACGTACAACTTTGGAAGTATTGGCGCGTACTGATTTCCTTGCAGGAATTGAACTCGTCGATTTTTAGTAAAAAAAAGATAAAATTATCCTCGAATATGTGTCCGAAACTTTCCTTTTAAATGACGCTTACTGTTCTTTTAGTAATGCCCTCTTTCCAGGGCCACGATGAAGCATATCAACGTCGACGGCATTGATGCGCTGAACAAGGCGGTGGAAGAAAATCCAGGCAAGGTAAATGTTGTCAGAGATTGTTGTCATGTTCATATTGGCCTTGATTTTTCTGCTTTGAATAAGATTTTTCAGATTTTCGTCCTCTACACGGGCAGCAAAGTGAATGGGGTCTCGTGGTGCCCGGATTGTGTACACGCTGAGCCAGTCATTGAAAAGGTAGCTTTCCCGATGTTGTATTCATATTCTTTTTAGGTGCTTGCCGGGTCAGACGTCTCCTCAAGCGACATTACCTTCATCACATGCCTCGTCGGCCAGCGCGACTATTGGAAGGACCAAAAATGTCCATTCAGGTCGGTCCTATAGGTTTTCGCTCTTTGAAAATGCTATTTTTTTTTATTATTACCGGGCAGGGAGTTTATTTTTCGCATTATTTAGGAAAAGATATAGTATGCACATAGTTTTTTAGTAAAGTTAGTTATATTGAAGTGGAAAACGATTTAGAGAGCTGTAAGCTCTTTTGAAAGAGCCGAAAATAGGAAATTTTGGATCGAAATATCTATATTTTTACGTTTTTAATAGGTTTATTGTAAAGATTTTGCGTTTAGGAATGGCGGTACTATTCAAGTTGGGGGGGCAAAAATTTTTTTGGGTCATTTTTGGGCTAATTCGTCAGTTTTTCTCTGGCTTAGGCTTAGCTTAGCTTAGTATTGGCTTGGCTTAGGCTTTAGCTTAGGCTAGGCTTTGAACTAGTTTAACCTAGGCTTAGGCCTATGCTTAGCCTAAGCCTTAGTACCTGGTCCTTAGCTTGGCTTCGTCACAGCATCACTGCTTTTGGCTTCGACTTAGCTTTGTTCAAGCTCAATTTAGCTGCGCTTCGGTTTAGCTTAGCTTAGGAGTTGAGTATTGCGCTGGATTAGCCACGAAAAACTGATCAAGTAGCCTAAAAATGACCTAAAAGTTTTGCCCCCCAACTTGAATAGTACCGGAATGGCAAAAACAGTTTAGAAGCATTCTATAAAGCTACCTATTTATGGTAAAAAAACTGGATCCTATGGAAAAATTCCTTTCACACTCAATCCGCTTTCTAAGGAGCCGAAAATACTATTTTTCAACGTCATACAGTAAATAATTATCAATGTTTATTATTTAGGACGGACGCGCGGATCAAGATCAATTCTATCCCGACGCTAGCGCAATGGGGCAGCAAGGTCCACCGTCTCTCTGAAGCCCAACTCACCAACGCCGCCCTGATCAAGGACTTGTTGCTCGAGGACAACTGAACGACGTGTATTTTGCTCAAACTCTTCCTCTCTCTGTGATCTATGTGACCGGTACGACATTTCTTGTGATATCCGGTAAATTTATTCGACACGCACAGTTTTGCCTACAATTAATGAGAAATTGTGACGGTCGGCTCGAAGTTTTCGTGCACAAAATCGGGCCACAGTTTTTCGCGGATTCTCTCGATGAACGATTTGGTGTGTGGGAACTCTTCCTGAAATTAGAAGCTCTCGTAGCAGAGGCCGGACTGACCTGCAACAGCTTTTTTGGCAGAATATCGTAGGGAAGGTAGAGTAGAATCGCCAAGTGGCTCCAGACTGTCAGATCGGCCTAGAGTGCGCGATTTCGGTTGAAAACCCCAATATTACCTCGGTGATTTTGTCCCCGAAAAAGTTATGGCCCGCAAAATTCTTCAGAAGACTTTCATACATCCGCAAATCTTCGCGCAGCTGAAATTGGGATAGTTTTACCGAGGTCTATCTAAAATCTTAAAAAAAAATCCACGATTTTGGCCGAAAATTTACCTTGTTTTTATATTTTGTAATGGAGATTTAGTAACTTTTTACGTTTAGGAAAATTAAAAAGTTTAGAAACACCGACTGAAAAATTGGATACTTAGCAAAATGACTACCCCCCGATAATGCACCATTTCCGATGACGAATGATTTCTCTTCGTTTTTGGCGACCGCCTTACCATTTCTTCGTGGGTCCCGTCTGGCCAAATTCCAATGGAGCTTCCGATGCGATTCTTGGCCTAAAAATTTACCTTTCTTTTGATTTTTTAATCTTACCTTTCCCGACAAGTTTTTCGTCAAAAATACACTGGCAATGGATTTAACAAAGCCGGATCCCTTGACGGCCGCCAGGATGACAGCCACCATCTTCTTTGGGTTGTCGAGCAGCTTGTACTTGTAGGTGACGCTGAAAATACGGTTCTTCGTTACAGGAAAAAGGAACGCACTTGAACGTATAGTAGTCGCATGCTTTGGCGATAGCTCGTCCCTGGGCTGCCTCCTTTTCGTCGGAATAATCCTAGGAAAACAATGTTTTTTTTCTAGGGGGTTTACAAGTACCTGAATGTTGAAGTGCTTGCGCAGATGACTAATGATAGCGCCGGAGTCTTCGATTTGTCGTCCATTCAGCTCAATCATCGGCAGAAGCCCTTGTCTGGTGCGCACCTTGTTCGTCTCTTTGACCTGGCAGAGAATTTATTTCTATTTTTTACGGCTAAAACTACCTCGTGCTTAATCCCATGTAAACGCAGGAAGCTCTCAACCTAAACAATCTCATAACTAAAAATTTGAAGCTCGCGGACCTTGAGGCAGAAGGGCGAAATGTTGGGCAGTTCCTTGATTCTCGGGAATTGGAAGAGGTAAACAACATCCTCCTTCCATTCTTTGATGTGCAGGGTTCCTGAAACGAGAAAACGTCAGTACTTCGAAAATCGGTGTTTTCGCATTAGAGGGGGTTCTGCTGCGGGAAAGCTAAGCCAAAACTATAAAACTTCCATCAAAAAAAAATACAAAAATATAGATTTTTCGACGTAAAATGGCCGATTTTCGACAGCTTTTCAACAAAAATCTCGAATTTGCAAAGTTTTAAAATTTTTGTCTCGAGTTTTATCACTTAAAATATAGCTAAATTTTGCTAAAAGCTCTCTTAAAACAATTACTATTTGTTGCTAGGCATTGCTAGACTTATACAAAAAAGGGTTATGGTTTTTCTGGGAAAATACCCTCCCCCGTTAATGCAAAAGCACCGAAAATTCCATTACTTTGAAAAGTCAGTACTTCGAAACGTGTTGAACGACTAGCGATAAAATTCCAATTTTTTAGAATAATAATATTTTGATTTTTCGAAGCTTTAAAATCTATAGAAGCTTGTAATCAGACGTTTAAGGCACTAAGACTAATATCTGCCGCGTGTACCCACCTCCAGATTTGCCCATCGTTGTCGTGAATGTATCGCTTCGTTACGAGTAGCAAAATGACCTCCTCGTCCTCCGGGTGCCTGGCAGATCAAGGGGTGTGGCTGATAACGCGGGAATGTCAAGATCGGATGTGCTCGTGCGAACATCCCCGTACCCCAAGGTTATTTCCAAGGATATCGCACGTGGATTTTGTGGTTTATAGCAAGGGTTCGTAGACGGTTTATATATGCGCCGACGCCAAAAGCATTTCCGGTTACGCTTTTTTCGAAAAATCGAGGGGACATGCTTTTCCTTCGGGGCCATTTCCGAAAAACTACATATTTTTATTTAAAACATTTAAAAATTAAATTTTTCGACAAAAATTCTGAACTTTCTACATTTTCCTAGCTCTTCTAAATGTTTTTTCAATTGAAATGCAGCTACATCCTACTATATATAAAAAAATAGTATCTGTGTGTGTGTGTGTATGACACTTTGCATGCAACTTCCGTCAGCGTGTCCGGAGGATATCTCAAGAGGGAAGGGGCGTAAGGAGGTGTTTGATACGTCATTAGATGCGTAATGGGCTGTAGATGACTGCACACACATCAGATTTTGTAAAATATGTTGTTTTCGACATTAAAATTAAGTTTTTCGTAAAAATTCGTCCACTGACTTTGTTAGGATAAAATTAGCATACGCCGAAAGTTGGGTACACATAGGATAACGGGGGGGGAATAAAATAACGGGGGGCACTCATTATTATGAAATTTGCAATTACTGAGGGATTTTGCGAGTGCCATTCGATAGAGCGTCGAAAAATATACTAAGAGAATTAATTTCAGCCCGAAATAATGTAATAGAAATTTTTTATTGAATAAACAAAAATTGCGGAAAATCTATGGGCAGCACATAGGATAACGGGGGGAAAGTCAAATTTTCGAAATTTTCGAAATTTTCGGTGTTTTGAAAACGTCATTCGATAAAGCGTCGAAAACTGCCCTAGGAAAATTAATTTCAGCCCGAAATAATGTAAATGAAATTTTTATCGAATAAACAAAAATTGATCAAAATCCATGGGCAGCACATAGGATAACGGGGGGGGAAAGCCAAATTTTTGAGATTTTCGATATTTTGAAAACGCGAATCGATAGAACATCAAAAAAAATACTAAGAGATTTTTTTACAACGCGAAAAAATGTATTATCAAAGTTTTATAGCCTAAAAACTATTTTTGAAAACTATGGGCAGCACATAGGATAACAGGGGGGGGAAAAAATTTTCGGCGTTTTGAATATTTTCGAAATTTTGAAAATGCCATTCGATAGAGGACCGAAAAATATACTAAGAGTTTTTTTTACAGCCCGAAAAAAGCTTATTTAAAAATACTTTTATCATATAAAAAGTTTGAGTGCCCCCCGTTATTTCCCCCCCGTTATCCTATGTGTACCGAAAGTTGCAGTAGCCTATATAAAGGCACAAAGGGCTCATTTTTCATTTTTTTGTCATCGGAATTGAGGCACAATTATGCAAAATAAAGAACATCATAGGATTAGACGCGGGCCAGGGTTGAAAAGTCGCGAAGCGGCTTTTCAACCCTGGTTTTTACTAAATTTTTACTAAAAACGCTATGAAAATATTTGCTGTTACATTACCAGCCAAATCCAGATTTATTCGGAAGGCCTTTCAACTCGGCATCGGACCTGATAACATTTGTTGCGCCATTCGACACCTCATGACGAGCTGATTCCGACTCTTTGCAAAAAAATAAACGGAAGCACCAATGGGGGAATGGGATGAGCTACGAACCATACGTTTTACGAGAATTTCGTGGAAGTTACTCGGGCGATGAGGTAGAGGTACTGTTTTGAAGATTTTGCAGACTTAAAAGCGTCATAACTTCTTCCCCTACGGTGCACGCGTTTATTTTTTTTTTGCAGATTCGGAATCAGCTGGGAAAGGCGCGTCGAATCAGGTGACTAATGTTTTCAAGATCAATTGCGAATGCATTCCGGATTGCTACGGGAAAATTAGATTACGAAACACCTTTAAAAATAGGCTAAAATGCTGAAAAATGATCCGAATCCAGCAACGGTGCACATTTTAGATTGGATCGCGAGCAAACTTCGGCTCGGCCCGCCCGCTTCCACTCCAATTATCGACCTGACTGACCTCGAAATAGTGTCCACCGCATCGGCACACCGCCAAAAAGCGAGCAGAGCAAACAAGACAAAAAAAAACGAGGAGTACTGAAAAAGCAAAAAAAAAACTGAAAACGAAAACCGAAATATTCAAGAAATAAACTTCAAAGCTATTAAAATTCTACGCTTGAGGCTTATCATCGAACACCAAGCAACCTGCAAATTTTTTTTTGATTAAATCGCACTTGAAATTTGATGAAAAATAAATAAAAACTTCGATTTTTCCATCAAAAATCATCGAATTTCGATAAATGTAAAATTTATAGATATTTTATGATATTTTTAGATAGTTGTACTACTTTAAATCTGACTAATTATATTAAAAACGCTATCAAAACAATTGAAATTTCGTTACTAGGCATTTCTGGATTTGTCGAAAAAATAGGTTCTCCTCCCCGATAATGCAAAAGATCCATTTTCAGCAACATCATCTTTTGTTGATGCAACTCCGATTCGGATTCTCGACTTCATCACGAAGCCAATGACGAAATACGCCTTGCGAAACGAGGACAGTCATAGCTGATCAGAAAACTTTGCTCTACCCGAAAATCCCTCCCTTATCGCGTGAACTATAAGAAGCGGGGCCAGCGATCGAATTCAGACAAAGCAGCACACACCGACTCATTGATAAATCTTGATTCACTGCCCAATTTCCGCTCAGCCATGCAGTTGCTGCTCAGGGTAGCCGCCCTCCTTGCTGTCGTCGAGTCGGCCAAGGTCGCCGTCTTCATCCTGGAATTATCGAACAGCCAGGTGAGCTGAAATTCACAGCTTCGAGCCATTCCAGATCCTCTTCAATAAACGGGTAGCCCAAACACTGGCCGAGGGTGGTCATGATGTGACGCTGATCAACATCAAGCCCTACAAGGGATTGAAAAGTAACGTGGAAAAGGATGGGAAATTGAAGGGTTCGTTGCCCAACAACTTCAACAAGTAATGATTTTTCAAATTTCCAGAATTTATCGTCGATGCCGCCGGAAATTTGACGCTTCGCGAGATGGAAGAAGCGCAAGGCGGCATGATATTCAGCGTAAGGCTTTGACACATCTATCAAGGAAACGGCTAAACTGTAGATACCCCAGTCGATACCTATTGTATCTCGGCTCTCCGTGGAGCTACAGGGCTGTAAAGTACACCAAACTACTCGCCAGATCAAGACGAACATTTTGGTGTACTTTACACACATGTAGCTCAACAGGCAGCCGACTTACAACATTTTTTGGTTCGGCTGGGGGTGGAGAGCTGCCTTCTTACACAAAAATGCTTTAGGAATTCTCGTGGTTTGACAAGAAAAGCTTCGCCACCATGTCCGTGATGAGCCAAATGATGGCGGAGGCCTGTGAAAGTGGGCATTTCCTTCAAACAAAATAGAAAAATATTTTTAGAAACCATCCTCAGCCAAGAGCTGTTCGATTTCCTGGCCAAGGAAAAGTTTGACGTCGTCTACTCTCACATGTACGATTATTGTGCTATTGGGGTGATACATAAAGCGAACGTGAGCTTTATCAGAGCACTTTTCTATTTAATAAATTTCGTATATTATTCTTATGATTTTTTGATCCGAAATATTCAGATCAAATCGTGGATCTGGCTAAACTCGGGCGGTCTGATGGAATATGTGGGAATGTCCGTCGGAGTTCCGTATTTCTCCAGCTTTATGCCACGTAAGTCTTTTAGCAGTAGGTATTGATTAAATTCAGGATGTTGTGCGAATTATATATTACTACGAAGCTTTTAGCTCGCGGAATGGATGCCGGCGCCAAAATGACCTTCCTCGAGCGCACGAAAAGCCTCATCGGGCACAACTTGTTCAAAATTTTCTACAACAGGTGGGAAAATTTAGTATATAAGTAGAGCAACTGGCCTAAACGTAAAAAACGTGCGCATTGTTATTAAAACCTCAAAAAGTAACGATTTTTCGGCCAAATATGCCAGTTTTAGGAACAAATCTCAATTTTCAACGATTTTCTACGCTATTTTAAATCATATTAATATTTATAAATAAAATGCATATAGATGAATTGATAAAAATATAGTTAAAGCCTGTTTTTCCCCTATTAGGGCAATCCCCGCTAAGCAGACAGCCCTCTTCCGGAAGCATTTTGGCGAAGATTTCCCCGATCTCTACCACGACCTCGGGCCAAAGGTAAAAAAATGTAAAATATGATTCTTGCAAATTATTCTAAATATCACGAAAATTGTGCCTCGAAAATGGTATATTTAGTGCCCGCTGGTGATGGTGAACAGCAATGAACTCTACGAGCAAGCAACACCAACGCTGCATAAAGTCATCAACATTGGCGGGCTGGGGATGCAGTTCAAGGATGCGAAGCCGCTGCCACAGGTAAACTCGAAATTCAGCGTTAAAACGAAGCCGATAAGCTCCGTCTTATGAAGCCTTCTTAACACTGATAAATGCGAGGTTTTAGGAATACGACGAGCTGCTTTCAACCACGAAAGGTATCTTCATCATGTCGTTCGGCTCGGTGGCCAACGCGACGATGATGCCGAGATCGTGGAAGGTGAGATTCTATCAGGAATTTTACCTCAGAAAATTCCCCAGGAATCCCTGATGGCCGCCTTCGCCGAATTCCCCGAATACCATTTCGTAATGAGGTATGCCGCGGACGACATTGAATCCATACGCCCGAAGAATGTGAAGCTAACGAAGTGGATCCCGCAGGCGGATCTTTTGAGTGAGTCACTTGCTCTATCAAGAAGCTGTAACTAAAAAATATAATTCATCTTTAAGAACACCCGAAAACCATCGGCTTCATCACACACGGCGGCTACAATAGCTACCAGGAGACGATCTTGGCCGGCAAGCCAATGATCGCCATCGCCCTCTTCGGCGACCAGTACAGAAATGGACGAATGGCCGAACAGCTCGGCTTCGGGCTGATGTGCGATAAAAACAGTCTCGCAAAAGGTCCAGAAAAGCTGACAGAGGCTATCAGGCAATTGATTAGTGACAAGAGGTAAGCGGGTTTATCAAAAGTGCAAAAAAATGTCGAATTCGTGCTGAAAAACGTATCTTGTTTAGCTATGAACAAGCCGCGCAACAACTCTCCAAAATGGCCGCCAAAAAGCCGATCAAACAGGAAGAACTCCTCAACAAGTGGACAGAATTTCTGGCTGAATTTAAGGCAAGTTTCCACACGTTTTTTGACCTGAATACCATCAGACAATCGACGTCTTGGTACCGGAGAGCCAACACCTAAATTTCATCCAATACAACCAGCTAGACGTCTTGGCCCTCCTCGCGCTAATCGTAAGCTAAATACCGGTGACCCTGAAATTCGATCCTACAGGTTTTCACAGTCCTTTTCCTGCTCTATCGCCTTGTCCGATGCATTGTCTGCTGTATTTGCTGCCGAAGAAACCGTTCCGAAAAGCCCAAATCCGAATAATTTATCGTGCAAAAACCCTAGGTACAAAGTGAAACTGCGAATAAATATACGGATTTTCTTATCTCTAAACAACGGCGCATCGGTGTTTTATTTTTTATACAGCCGTGGGCCGAAGATCTTGCTACCGACGCGCACACTCGTGCTCCCTTGTTGAATTGCCGTCTCGAAGTCGTCCGACATCCCTGAAAAAGTTTTAGAACGAGGATGTAGGGAGAACTTACCCATTGAAAGTTCATACTGATCCTCTGGCTCTTCGAATACTCGAGCGAACTCATTCCGTACCGCGACCAATTTGTCAAAGTCCGGATTCGGCGTCTGAAGAAAATAGGTTCTTTTTGTCGGATGGAGGGACCCGGACTTTTTCCTAGATATTTTATATTTATTTCCAATCCAAGATACGTACAGTAATGACATAAAAATTGTATTTATAATATTTCTAACAAAATTTGGTTATATTTAAAAAGCTACAGCCCTTTGAAAAGGTTTAAAAACTGTCAAAAATGCGACATTTTTATCGAGGGCGAGCATTTTTGGCCGTAACTCGATATTTTTGTGGCATTCAACATCTTTGAAAAAGTTCTACGTTTATAAATAGTAATAAAAATCCTACTGGACCTTTGAACTGCCTGCAATTGAGCCAATGGTCATGAAGCCAGCAATCTCCAGGTGTGTGCAATTCTCTCGAATAAACCTCCCGAGTCCAACGACGCCCTCCGGCTCGACGCCACCCTTTTGATCCTCGCCGGAAGTGTTCACCTAAAACCCAATTCTCAAACCACCAGAACCCCTAACCTGGATCAAAATGTTCAGCTTCCGCTCGCGCTTCACCATCTCTTTCTCAAATAATTGCGCGTGTTTCTCGTTGTCCACCGTCTCGACGCAGTAAAGGTTCGGAACAGCGCATATTTTTGGGATCTGAAAACTCGTCGGATTGAAATTTCACTGGTACCTTGTTTGATTGAACTTGGCCGATGTAGTGCCATCGGATATCCGGTAAATCTTTGAAAACGCTGCCCTTCTCCTCGAGTTCTTGCACATAGTTCTCGCCAAAGTGCCTGAAAAATAATTTTCCCGGCAAAATTTGAAAAACACACCGCTGCCCCACGTCGTAACATTCTTTGATCAAATCTGCGGGTTTTGTCTTCGAAACGGCAACCAACCTAGTAAAAATTTTTTGTTGATATTGTGATTTATACCTGGGAGTTTTTGCTGTGACCGTTACTGCTCCTTGCACTCTTTCCAGGATGTGTAGAATATTCTCCTGTACCACGGTCCGTTCTGTCGTCATCGTAAAGCTCCGAAGGGCCATGATGAGCATAAAATCTTTTGTAAAAGAAGAGAAAACTTATGAATAAAAATTAATTTCAATGCTATTGCTTTAGGTGTAGTAATCGGTTATAAGGCCGCGCCAGGCCTATGCACGCGGGAAATCTCCCATCTGCGCCGCCCTCTCTTTTCCGCTGAAATCGGGCATGCGCAAATAAACCTGCCAAACTTTGTCAAAATTGATAGTTTTCCGGATTGTAAAATTCAAACCACCGTATCGCGCATTAAGGATAGCAAAGCGCGCGTTTCATGGATATCTATTAAAAAGTAACGCCTTTTCTCTGTCGTTTTCTAGCTATCTAAAATTCAAAACACGTTCGGTAAAACAAAGCGGCGGCCAGCATTTGATACTTTGCTAAATTTGGGAACAGACCGTTGATTCAGCTATTTCTTTCGCGTTCAGGTCAAACCATAATGTCAACATTTCGGAAGACATTTATTGTAGCCAGCCGGCGCCTTCTCATAACCCGTCTTATTTTGCTTTCAGGTGATGGATCCATTCAGCTTTGTATTGGCGGCACCCACAAATAAACGATTTGTTAAGAAGCGACGTGTTGAGCCCGAACCTGTATCAGGTAAAGCAACTATCAGTCTCGGATTGATCGTTTTTGGTTTTCTTTCTTGAATGATATGGGTCACGCTCCTGTTAAGGTTACCAAAAGTACGATGTTATCACAAAATTGCCGTATATTAATGAGACTTTGCTATATCTCGATCGATGTGAGTAGTTTTACTTTTCTCCAGTTGCTTGTTTCGCTCTGTTCTGTTCGCCCTACACAGTTCTTAGCTTGCCGTCTACACCACCGTCAACTGAAATATGAAATAACAAAAAGGAGCAGAGCAGATATCTTGGTCATAATTTCATGTTAGAACATCGCGGAAAACGTTATATTACTGGGAGCACGAATTCCAACAGACAGACACGTATGGGATTTTTTAAGAAGGAGACTTTCAATTATTTATTACACCGCAAAGAACCTAAACTATTTCATACTCCTCACATTCATTCTCATACCCTGGACAAGGCCTATTAATTAAACCACGCCTCACGGCAAATTTCCTTAAATTACGGATCTTCAAACAAATTAGGCAACTCTAAAAGCCGTGTAAAATTTGGGTAAAAGTTTCTTCATAGATGATGTCGAACCGGAGTCCTCCTATCACTATGAACAACTGCAGCAGGGCAGTGCCGAGCTGAAGGAGCTCGAGCATATGCTCCACACCCATTTGTCCGACAAGTCCCTCAAGCTGACCGTCCATAAGGCCGACAAAATCCACAACCCCTGGCTATCGCATCGGGTATACCATCATACATTGACTCGCTAACCCCAGTTCCAGTTTTCAAAGTATTGTAAATGGCTGAAGGGAAAGGGCTTTCCAAATACGGAGTCCTGGGGCTTCCAGCAAAGCCACTACACGAAAGATGAGGTTTGCTTGCACTTTGACAACGGATTTGCCCTGTTTAGCGCGCTTATATTGCCACCGAGGGTCTGGCCGTCGACAATTCGATCAATGACGATTTGGGAGATCCCAAAAATGGCGTCTACCTCTCGAAACACGTCGATATGGTCTCACAACAATGCTTCACCTTCACGACTCAAGGCCAACCGCTAGTCGTTGACATCCTGGTTTGCAAGATGGCCCTCGGCAAGACGATGATGGTGGGGAGGTTTCCGAATATGCTATTCTGTTTTTAGGTGGGCATGGGATCAAAGGATCTGGACCCGAGCCCGAGCTACACTTCTAATGCCGTCAACCAAGCGCAACAGGATCGTAATTCTCGCACCGTCGATCGCATGGATAGCTGTCGTAGAGATATGGTGAATAATTGCGGTCGGGGGTACTGGGGTCAAAAACTTTCAAAGGCTTCTTTCTGGGTCGTTCTCTGGGTAAAAAAAGGTTGTTTGATTCCACAGCTCTACCACAGCCCAATAATCAAATCTACACCATTAATATAGCCTTACTAAACATTTTAAACTATAAAAACATCGTTTAAAAGTCCTGAAATTTTTGAAAATTTGACTTTTTAGACAAAATTACAGAATAACATTGGAAACCATCTTACATTTCAGTTTTGTTAAATTTTTTAGAATTCGGCCATTGTCTATCTATGGGGAAAATATGAAAACATGGTGAAATATGCTAGTTTTTATTACTGGGCAGATTCGCAATATCAAAATCACTTGATTTCGCGGCGCGATAAAATTTTGGTCATCGAAACTCGCAACTTATTTGCTTTAGGTGTTCCTGTATGAGCTCGACTCGAGCCTGGAGCCGCTTATTGTTCCCTCTGGCGTCTTGCCATACGCCTACGTCACTGTCAGTCTCGACAAAAATTTTGCAAGCGCACCGATGATGAAAAGGCGAGTGGCGATTCATGTTTTGCCAGATTCACAGATAAATTGTGAAATTTCTGACGTTATTTACTTTTAGCAAATTGACCCGCTACGACCTGCAGCCATCTGTGTATGAAGGGCCGCTCCAGCTACTCGGCTTGATGCTGCCGATTTCACTTACCTCACCTGTTGACGCCCTCTGGAAGCCAGAAATTTTGTCAGTTTTTTTAATGTATTTTTAGCGATGCCAGAGGATTAAAAATTTTAGGAAACGTTTTGCGCCCTTGTTTAACTTTTTTTCTTTGATTTAGGGCCAGAAATTATGAGCTATAGATTTAGTTTAATTTATTTTTTGAAACTGTCGCTCTCAAATTGTGTGTAATGTATTCTTTCCCTTTCAGATCCCCAGACCTTGACTTCTCAACGCTAGCCACCTGGAAAGCAGCGCTTGACGACCCAATTCTCGGCGTAGGTTTTCGTGGCGCTTGCGTAGCACACTTTTTTCCAGGAATTCATGGAAAAGGACAATCGTGGTCTTCTTCTGCGCAAGCCCTACATATCGGTATCCAATAGTTCTGTTCAAAAAACTCCCAATTACCAGTTGAAAAGCGGATGGATGGCCACCTACTTTCTCGTGAGGCCAGAAGCGGATGGGGAGCGCTTTAGAAGCCTTGTCAGTGCGCTCACCAACACGAGGACGGTGGGTGTAGATACGCTTTTTTGTGGCCGCACTTGTCAATAGGTGCCTGACGTAGCTGTTTTAAGGGCGCATTTTTTACTTTTTTATTTTTTGGAATTTCGTACGCTTCAACTTTTGGACAGATTTGCAAGGTTCAAGCGTTCGAGAAACTATAAACAATGGAAAAGAACCATACATCGTGCCATTTTTATTGAATATTTCCGCAATTTTAGCTGCTGCTCGTGGTCGAAGGCGATTTCCAAGTGTCCCTAATCCCGCCCGGTGAGATCAGCGACCACCTTGGATTTCCTGCGTTGACCGCCGGACCTCATCTCCATTTGATCCTCACCAAAAATCGCCATCTTTATTCCGGCAGCCGTCTGGATAGCAATGTCGAAATGTATGTTTTTCTGTTTTTTTTCTGGCGTCTTCCAAATTTCCAGAAATTTATCGGGTTTTTTTTTGTTCTAGGAAGGGCACAACGCGCTATCCAAGCGTTATCGACGAGGTTGACCCATCTCAACCGCTACTTGCCGACATGATCCTCGAAGACCACGCCAATCTTATCGACGGCGACTCCGGCATCAACGCATATGTCAGGAATGGAAGAAGTAGGTTTTTTTTCTAGGCGTTGTATAACACTTCCGGTCGAACCTACAAATTCATTTTTTTTAGAAGCCGAGAAGGACGGAAAAGCGGCGTCGCGGGAAAAGCCGTTGTTGCCTCCTTTCGGCTCCGAGATGCTGAAAAGCACACAATTGTCTATGCGGCCGCCAAAAAGTGATGCCAAAGGTCAGCGATTTTTGCTAGTTATCTGGTCGATTGTGTGAAAATTCAACCGTGCGAAAATGGTCATGTTCTGCATACCGATGATGCTTCTGCTTGTTTCTCACGCCTTTTGCGAAAGGCCAAATGACATTTTTTTTGGAAAGCCATTCGAGAAAACACAGCTGAAACGGCGCTTACGCCTTTTAAACAGAGTTTTCGAAAAGAAACGTATAACTTTGGCAGGGAAAAATGCCGAAAATCGAAGCCTTGCAGATCATATGCAATTTTTTCGCACAAATCCTGTTTGAACAGATCGCTTTTTCGAACAAAGGATTTTCGAACGCAGTAATCCTAATTTTGTTTAGCGACCAACGAAGGAAAAGCGTCTGAAGTCCGCCCGGCCAAGTCTTCATCAAATGATGACGCTAAAAATTCAAAGGAAGATCCGCGGTCCAAGCGTCCGAACCCGGAAGTCGAATATGAACCGAAATCGCCTACCTATGGCGAAATTGATGACATGGCACCGGTCGGGGATCCTCGAAAGGTTCCCGCGAAGCCCGTAGAGGAAGTGTACGAACCGAAATCCCCGACTTACGGCGATATTGACGATCTGGAGCCCGTCTCGGCAATGTTGGACCCGCGGAAGCAGCCGCCGGCAGCCACGTCGGTGCCTATCGTGGACTTCCGGAGTATCCTATCTTCCGGTGGGCTATTTGAGAAGGTTAAAAACTCCTACGAAACCCCTTACCGCTTCAGGGGTGTTTTTCTGGGGAATCTTTCAAAGAAATTCTAAATACAAATATCCTCCTTTTAGGCGGCAGAGCTGCGACGAAGGAAGAACGCCCAGCCAGTGAAGCACAGGCTGAAGACGAGTCTCCCAAGCATCCCCCCAAGAAGTCCCATGCTCAAGAGCCGCGGAAGCGATTATCTGAACTCCCGATGCCACCAAAGGCCATGAATAAGGTGGCGTGCCGGTTTTGAGCATTTTTCTACCTTTACCGTTTGTAGGAAGAGTACGACCCGGAAACGTTGGAATTTTCCACCGACCTCCACGGCTTTGATGCAGTAAACAATTTTTTGCTTGATATTTTATTTTTCTTAGGACGCAAGCCCTGCCCCGTCGCCGCGAAATGACGATCTGGACTCATTAGTGCGTGTTTCTACGTCATTTAACGATTTTTTTGCAGAATGGAGCTTCATCGCCTAGCCATGCCGACGAAGAAGACCTGAGACCCGTCAATCAATTTGTAAATTTTAATTCCGTGCTCATGATGATTTTTCAGGAGCCCCTTGTTCAACCGCAAGAACCGCGCCCCGCTATTACCATGGTACGCTATTAATTCAGCCTTTTTCCTGACTATAACAATTGATGTAAAAAATTCTAAACTTTACGATCTATTTCTAGCATGACGACGAGCCATCAAACCACGCCAACCATTTTGCCCTCGCCAACATTTTCGGAATGGCCTCCCGGCCGCAGGTAAGTACCATTTGCGCCGCATTTTACAAACAAAATTTTCGCTTCAGCCCGTCTCCGATGTCCACAAGAAGCCGGTGGTCTCCGATATACACAATTTCCTCTCACAATTTGTCAAGACGGAACCCACATCCCAATTCCAGCAGCCGATCATCACTGGTGAGTTCGTGAATCGCGAGATGATACTATCTTTTAGAAGATGATGGCGATGATGAAGATGACAGTGTCCGGTCGCCGACCTCGTGTAGCGCCCCGCAGTCACCACCGCCCGGAGACGTCGGGTAGGCCCCGAGTTTTTGAGATTTGAAGTTGTTCTAGATCTGTCGCAGTGTCGATTCCACTGGATCGCGGTGACCCTGGAACGCAGGATCTGGATCTACGGGTAGGCTCTTTGTTTGTTTGTCTCTTCACGAAGCGTGAATATTCATTTTACTGACTTTTTCACTCAGGATGCTGTTTACGAAAAACAACTTAGGTTATCTTGTCGTTATCTTGTCGCTCAAGGGTTCAAAAATTTTGTTAGAAAATTATTTAAAACCTTCAAAAGTTCGCATTTTTTTGGGTCAAAAACTGCAATTTTTGTCGAAAAATTCATCGTTTTTGTATGTTTCTAAAGGAAATTTTTCAAGGTTTTGCGCTCTGGAATAGTAGAAAACAGCTTAGAAGCATTTTGCGGTATATATTGAAAAAATCGATCGCTATTGAATCAGATAAACCTGGATTTCAGGGCCCTTTCGACACGGATGGCGACGTGGACCTCCGTGGACCATTACCGATGCCTCCTCATGTACCTCCACCCCGTGCTATTCCCACGGAATCGCAATTCCCAGGTAAATAGTGATTTTCTACTTTGAGGAAAATGCTTGCCTTTTCAGCTTTTCCGCCACTGAACGCCGGCCAAGAAATGTTCGTCAAACAGCACCTCATGCACACGATGAGTAATGTACTGGGCATCTCGCCTGGTGTCAAGCAATGGTAACGGCTTTGTTCATCTTCTATTCAAACCCGTTCAGCATCCCGAAGCCCGGTCTGCTCGCCAAGCCGAATCTACCCGCTGCACCCCAGCCTAACCGCCCATCGTTCGGCTACTTCATGTGTCCACCGCGGCCGGCTTCTCGTGAGCCGGTGCCTCCTCCCAGGGTATTCATATTTATTAATCACCTTAATTATCACAAAAAACACGCATCTAGCTGCTATCTTCGATTTTACGAGTTAAGTAAGAATCGAAAGCTCTCAACGAGGTGAGAGATATGTTCTTTCCGGTTTTCGATATTTTGATAGCTTTTGCGATACTTTTTCTGGCTTTCTGGCGGCCCTACGACGAATTTTTCACATCTATTTGAAAATCCACCGCAGATTTGGTTTAGGACCCTTAAATGAGTTTTTTATGGGAAAACTTTCCGCCGAAAAGCATGGTTTGCTTGGTTGGAAATTACCAAAAAAATAGGCAGAATGTAGAAATCGTAGAGAACATTTCTCCTCGCCTCGTGGAAAGCTTACGATTGATACCGAAATCATCGGATTCCTCCGGGCCTTTGCTTATTTTTCTTTACATTCCAAGGCATTTCTCCAGATTCCGCCGCTCCATGTCCCCGTCCCTCAATCGCCAGACAGCGCCCCCGGTTCACCGGACGAATTCCCAGCGTCACCGGTACGTTCATGATTTGCGTGACTCATTTTTTCGAGTTACAGGACCAATCGATTGATCCGGACAACGTGTTCGGCGAGGGACTCCAGGCCTCTGTCGCTCCGAAAATCATCCCAATCGGGTAGGCATTGAAATTTTAAATCGGCAAATTAGGGGGCTACTTTTTCCTATGTTCAAAATGTCTGCATTTTTCGACTTTTTGCCATTCGACAGCGTTCAAGATTGTGAAACATTCTAAATTCTAAAATTATGAATTTCGGCATTCTTATATGAAATTCCACACGAGAAATAGTTTTAGCAGCGCTTCTCCAAGCATCCCGTCGCAACTGACGCCACCGTTAGGCGGTGTCCCGCGAATGGTCGCCCCTCCGGCAAGCCATCAGTTCTTCCCACAGCCGGCCCCGGCACCTGTTCCACTACTCTCACCCAACCTCTTGGCCGCCACGAACCGAGCGCCACCGTACGGTTTCGGTGGACACCGTCCGCCGCCGCTGCTTCCGCCTCCAGGACGGATCTCGGCGCCACGGATCGGCGATGGCTCGCTGGGACCTGCTCGATTGCCGCTTGGGTAAATATTTTTGATTTGTTCTATCGCTTTCTCTCTCTCTCTTTCTCTCTCTTTCTCTCTCTCTCTCTCTCTCTCTCTCTCTCTCTATCTCTCTCACTTTCTCTCTAGCTCTAATACACCTTTTACTTTTTGTGCGGTGACAATAGGTTAAGCAGTTAAGCGCGTGACCAATTTTCCCTATGATCCACCTTTATAGAATTTGAAGTTTTCTTAGGTATCATAAACTCTTGAAACTTATCAAAAATCGTCATTTTAAAAAGATCAAAAAATCTTTTTTTAGAAAAACCTTCCACTCAAAATTTACTAAAAACACTGTTCAAAGCATGAAAAATAAAAAATATTCCTGTAAATCGATCAGCCTCTTCGCTTCCGCTTCCTCATCCGCTATCAAACGTCTGCTTTCACGCTTTCGTTACTTCCTCTTCCTCTCCTGCGAATGGGCTCTCAAACGCATCAAACATTGACGATTCCGAAATTTTGCTAAAAATCTCATAAATTTCTGCTCATATTAATGACACCATACTTTTCTTGCGGATGAGCCTCCGCATTATAACTTTTAATCCACTTTCAAAAATATCATTTAGTAACACGACATTGACGATAATCATCCCGGACACCCTGTATTTCACCATGCCCGTCACCAATCTGTAAGTTTCGCCCGATTTCTTGGAGTTGAGATGTCGTTCTTTTTCAGCAGCCGCGAATACATGGAGCAACTGTTCCGGCGGCTCGAATTCGTCGGCGCCCAGTGCAACCACGGCTTCTCGGTGCACATCCATTCGACGTGCTTGAAGAGTATGGAGGATAGACTGTCGGTTTTTTTTTGTAAATTGCAGTTGAACTTTGCTTCGCTTGGACTATGCTTATTACTAAGGTGGACGGCCAAAATGATTATTTTCTACAAAACCCGATTGCATAGATAATCGTCAATTTTGCAAAAAAAGCCCGATTACCGGTGTGGGACGATCTTTTTTACCATTAGAATATGTGTGGAGCGTCATTTAATTACTACAAACAATGGAAAATGCTCGGTTCTTTCGCATTATCGGGGGGGGGGCCGAAGTTTTGTATGTATAGAAATTCCTGATATCTTAATAGAAAGTCTTTTTAATAGTGTCTTTAGTAAAATGATATTTTAACTAGACTAATGAAAACCAAAAAATTTCAAACGGTCGAAATTTTAGTAAAGAAAAAGGCGTTTTTCTCCAAAAAATCGATTTTTTGCATTTTTAATAAAAATTTGTAAAATTTTTACGCCTAGGAATAGTAGGATTCGTCAAATTGTCATGGTGTCCGTTTCAGCAACAAACTACCGCGCAACGATCCGAGCTGGGCCCACTGGCGAGGTCTGCAGGACATCTTTCTCGGCTACGCGCAACGTCCGCTGGTCAAGGTGCTCGGCCAACACGACTGTGATCGCGCAAAGAGGTGAGTCGAGGGAAAAGCACGATCACTTACTGGATATATTATTTCAAAACCTTCATGTTTCCAGGTCGACCGAGCAAGTGCTGACGTGTATGCGGCAAATTCGTGTGGCACAGCAGTGTCCGGTCACGCTGGTTTTTATGACTGGTGAGTTCTTTGCTCGGTATTTGGTTCTTTCGTATTCCGGCGGAAACTTAATTTTCCCGCATTTTCCTCAAACATTTTTTTTTGCTTAATTCGTAATGGAAGATATTTTAGTGATCTTTCTAGTGGAAGTACGATTTAGAACACTTTGAAAATGATTAAATTGTGGAATTTTTGATCGAAAAATCAATATTATTAGCATTTGTTTTAAGCAAAATTGAAAAAGTTTTTCCATCCAAGGATAGTAAAAATAGTAAAGAAGAGCAATCTTTGGCAAATCGAGCGTTATATGACAAACAAAAACTGGAGCCTAGAAAAAATGTATCCCCCCGGAAATAGCAAAGATCCGTTACTCTCACTAATATCATTCCAGATGTCTCTCCGGTCGCCGAAATGGGACAGCGCATCATTCGCGAGGGATTCCTGCTCGAAACGCCAGCCTCGCTGATGCAGCGTCTCTCCTAGTCAAGATCTCAAAAGGCCTTTCGTGTATTACGGGTGCTCTCCCCCCCATTTAGTGTTGTTTCCCTTGTTATCGCACTGTTTTACTACATTCGCTTCTGTCTACCGGTGATTTGTTGCTAATGTTCACTTTATTTGACAAGAATTTTATCAAACACATTTACGCAGTAAAATGCAGTCAGTTGTTGGGGCTTTGCGTGTAGTGGTTGTTGCGACGGCCGGCCGGTTTATGCCCATCTTCCAGGCTCTCGTAGTCGTCGCTGTCCGCCTGAAAAAAAGGGGTAGATTCCACGAATACTCTCGAAATGGCACCTGGTTTGTGGTGTTGTTGTTGTTGTTGTTAGGGAGCCGTTTGTTGAATTGATCGGGCACCAGCGACCCGAGATCGTCCGCCACCCAGTGGGGCATCTAATAAGGCTTTATTTGCAAAAATTTAGGTACGATAATCATACCTCTAACATTCGCACCCGAAAATAAAGGGTGTCCCAAAAAAAAACGAACCATCTGGCATTTCGCCGTCTTCCATCCAATCGGCCCCAAATTTGGACCAGAGGTGTATCAGACCCTAAATAACAACAATCCTGAGTTATAGCCCTGTGGCTATAGTAGTTCTCGAGTTATAGCAAAAACAAACTTTATTTTCCATTTTTCATAGGGTTTTCGTGGAATTAGACCCCTAAACATTAAGTGAAAATGATCCAGTAGGGCTTCTTTACCTTAAGAAATGTTTTCCAGACTAAAATTAATTAAATAAGCTTCGATTTAAGCGATTTTTACAACGCGAAATTAATCAAGATCTTAAGCGAAATTAGGGATTCGCAGCCGGAAGTCGATGCAAATCGATGCAAAGTCCAAAAAGATAGCCAATAAAACTGTTCAGAATTCTGGGAAAAACAGTATTTTCGTTATAACTTTTGAACTACTGTAGCTATGGGGCTGTAAGTCAGGATTGTTGTTATTTAGGGTCTGATACACCTCTGTTCCAAATATGGGACCGATTGGATGTAACACGGCAAAATGCCAGATGGTTCGTTTTTTTTGGGACACCCTGTATTTTAATGCGTCTTATACATATACATTTTCGTTTTTTTTTTACATTTCGGGGGCCCAACTTTTTCATTAGGATCTACTTTTTCAAATAATAGTGGAAGTGTTTTAAACGATTTGTTACTATTGCTAAACTCGACAATTTTTATTAAAGATACAACAAAATGCCGGTTTTTTGCCCAAAAAATACCGATTTCGACAAAAATGTCAACTCTTCAAAAAACCTTGTAGATAGTTTTTCGGTTTTAAAGATAGTCTTATTCTATTAAACCGCCTAATAAAATAATTCATATTAAAATCTAGAGTCTACACATATACAAAAAATTCGATACGCCCTGTTTGCGTTTTTTCGGTGTTTCCGATAAGTCGCAAAACCCTACCCAGTTCTTCTCGCGGCTCCGGGCGGCCACCTCGATGTCGTGGAACTGACAGGGAGCGTAGCGTTTTGGCTGCCATTAATGCGCCTACCTGATGGATGCCGGAGAGCACATGCAGCGTGTACAAGTCGTGGCTGCGCCCAAACGCAATGTCGGTGTTCAGCCTAAAGGGTCAGAGAAGGCCTTGAAATCACGGGTCGAACCGCGTACCTGTCCCCAATCATAATCGTGTGCCTCGGCTTCAGGGCGTAGTTGCGGAGGAGGAAATCGAAGGCTTGCGTCGACGGCTTGCCGCACACGACGTTCGGCGGCCGACCGCTTGCCCGGCTCACCGCCTCAACCTATGGAAGATGGGCGATTATAGGAAGTGCTCGCGCTTCAGAAGGTTCCTTGGCATTATCGGGGGTCAGAAAAGATCGAGTTTTATCGATCTTTCTATTGGATCCAATTTTTCAAATATAATAACTGAAATGTTTCTAATTTTTTTTACTATTAAAAAAGGCTAGAAATTTTTTATTACAAACACAAAAAAATATCGGGATTTGACCAAAATGTCGAGTTCTGAAAGTTTTCCTAGATGAAAGATAGTTTTCTACTAAAAACAAGATCAAAATACTTCCTATCTAGACTCATAAACAAAATTTTTGTGCAAACCTTCCCCATAATGCAAAAGAGTCAAAAGTTAGCTTTGGACTACAAAAATTTACCTTCCAACTACAAGCTACGATGAGTCAAAACTCAAGAAAACGTGGGAAAACTAAAACACAAAACTATCCTAGAAAACTTCTTTTTGAAGCTGAGCGACCGGGCAAGGTTTTTGGTGCGAGTTTTAAGCTAAATCCGAAACCCCATCCAAATCTTTACCAATGGCCCGGCATCGGGGATGATCAAGTCGGTCGGGCCGGGCGTCGTCTCGTCCAGGTTCGCGGCGACAAAGTGACAATTCTTATCCTGAATTTATTTAGTCATTACTGTCCCGATAGGGGCCAACCTGCAGGTAGTTGGTGGCTTTCAGCAGTTTCAGGTAGTCAAAGTGACGCTCGTAGCCGATCACCACGGCGCCCACCTTCTCTTTCTAAAAAAATAGTATACTGAATGGCCTTATGCGCTCTCGGCTACCGGTGGGTCCAGGTTGAAGTCGAACATGTAGGGGCGGTTCAGCTCGTAGGGGATGAAACGTCGATCCGGGTCCTGGCCCGGCCCGAACGAGTCGATGCCGGCCCGCTTGAACTCGTCCTGCAGCCCGGCTTCACCGATGAGGTATACCTAAAGGGCAGAGTCCTAGTTGGGCCAGGTACACTGACCCTCTTGCCATTCTCGTTGACCCCGTTGAATTGGCAAAAATCGGCGGCCACCATTGCCGGGGTTACCAAACGACGGGCTAAAAAGTTTTTCTAGAATTGCAGGCGATACTGCTGCGACTCACACGACAAATAGGGCGCAAAACCGAGTCCAATCATCTTGTGCTCAATCTCCTAAAGTTATGTCGGTTTTTGACCAGTACGTAAACCGTACCTCGCGCGTCTTGGTCGTGTTGTTGGTGAGCACGATCAGCTGCTTGCCCTGGAAGTGGAAAGTGAGAAGGAGAAGCTTGCGTGTCACACCTTCATGTGCAAGTAACGCACAAAGTCCGCAGAGCCCGGGATCGCCTCATCGCCCAGCCACAGAACCCCTGAAATGTGCCTGTAAGCCGCAATTCTGAAGGCAAACCATCGGCATCGAAGATGAACGTCTCGATCTCGCGAAGGATCGACTCGAACGCGGCCGCGTCAATCTTTTGCGGGATTTCGAGGGGCTAAAATTGTCGGGTATTGGACGGCTAGCGGGGGTGGTAGGATTAGAAAACTATGGAATTGGAAAAACTTGGAAAACTATTTCTATGTGCCATTTTTAACTATAGAAAGTTCGTTAAGAAAATTGTCAAACTTTTCTAGATTTTTGATATTTTTTGTCAAAAATTTAATGTTTTAAATTTTCACCGATCTGATCTATTTTTAGCAATAAAAAACTACTAAAACGGTAATACGACTCATAGACACGTTAAAAATCCAACTATATTGTACGCGAATACCTTCTTCTTCGGCTTGGCCTCATCGCGTAGCACCTTGGCAATCGTGGCTGTAGGTGGCTGGTAGGTGGGCAGATCATGTGACGGGGGAGGCGGCGTCAGTGGACCTGTTGCAGTATAATATCGCTCTTTACGGCAAAATGGATTTAGCCCGCCCGATGCAACCCGAACCACCCTCAAGATCTTAGGCGAAAACCCCCGGTTCATAAAGCAGCAATTCACCCTTCTCTTTCTTGTGTTTCTCCCTCTTCGTCTTGCGCTGGCGACCCTGGGCCTGCTTGTTGGAGCACAGCAGCAGCAGCGGGGTGGCGAGCAGTGCCGGCCCGACGGTGCTCACGATTAAGTTGATTATCTATGAGAAAGATGCCAAACTGGCCCACTCAACCAACCATTGCTGTAAAAGAACCAGACTAGACGAAAGGCGAGTACGTAGAAAATGAATGCAATTCGTTAATTTTGCGTGAAAATTAATTTTATCGCATTCACGAGCTTATTCAAAATACAAAAATGGAGATCAGTAATACACAGAAAAATAGGTTAATTATCATCATCATCATCAGTCATCATCGCTGTCCTGCACGACAATCTTCTTGGCTTTTGCCTTGTTTCTACGGAATTCCTAAAAAAAGTAATTAGTTGTTCTGGCTGAAATAGGTTACCTCATCAGAATCGGAGGAATTAATGCCTCCTGCGGCTTCATCTTCACTTTCGCTCTCGCTGCGATGTCCAACAATTGGGGCCGGGGCACCATAGCGGCGTTTGATCGTATTGAGCGAGTCGGGATCTGAAGAAGCTGATTAAAGATACGAATTTAATCGCTACCATAGTCGTCCTCCTCGCCATGGTATGTACGGAATTCTCTGTCGCGTCGGCCACGTGCATGCGTGGCAAACTGGGCGCGGATGGCTTGCCGAAACTTTTCCTCCTCTTTGCGAGCCACTTCCTGGAAATCAAGATGATCGTACGGGGGATTTTATTGCGAAAAACAAACGTTTTGTGAAATAACTAGAAAAATTACCTGTCTTTCCTTTTCCGGATTGATCCCCTCGTTGGCAATCATCCTAATCTGCGCGCCACGTCTCGTCCGTTCGGCCATTGTTTTTGTGACCTAAAGAAATTAGGCGGTCTTTTCGACGAAAAACCCATACGTTCTGATGAGTTTTCGAGTTGGTCGAATGCGGGCGGAAGACCACTCTGTCGGGGAAGAACGCTTGCGAGACAAGTCCAGTTCCTTGACGCAAGAACAAATGACTGAACTCGTTCGTCTCCGCGAGGCCGAAGTCAAAATATTCGGTGCCGAGGCGCAAAGACATCCTAAAAATGGAAAATTAGATCCTGACCACAAAAATCTTACGTTCCATCGGACCATTTCACGACTTTGGCGTTGCTTTCTCTTGTTTCAGTGCCATCGTCCTTTACCACCCTGCGCCAACGGATCACGTTTCCCACCTAAGTTTTGGATTAAAACAATTGGCCAGCCGAAAGCATCTTTAGGGAGTAAAAAACTAACCTTCAGCTTGTGTCGCCGCCCTTCCTCATCTACATAATCTTCCTCGGTTTCAGAAAAGTCCTCAGGATCAAACGCCTTTTTCTCCAGAGACAAGAAATTCGGCAATCTCATGAACACGACCTAAACCATAAGCGATTGATTTAGTGGACGATAACAATACCTGATCGCCAAAATCAATGACGTTTCTGGTAGCTGTTGCTTCAATGACAGCGGGGAGCAGCTTTTCTTTCTGTTCTTCCCCACCGTCGGAATCCACAGCGGCTCTTCCCTCATCATCGTCATCGTCATCTCGTCCTAAATATTTTTTATGAAAACTATACAAGGCGTACCGGCATTTCCCGCATCAGAGTCGCTGGAAACATCATCACCAAAAAGTTTTTCCTTCTGTGTCACGTTCTAGAAAACAGGTTGTCCATACTCAATTCAGGCTGCTGATTACCTGCTCGCCTTCCTCCTCTTCTTCTTCGTCCGACGAGCCGAGCACACGCTTCTTTCTTGGTGAAATTACTGCCTCTTCATCAGACGATTGAGGGCGACGTTCTAAAAAGAAAATGAGCCTCTCGACAGGGGTTCACCTGGTGAATTGCTAGCAGATCTATGTGAAGGCGTAGATCCTTTGTCATCTTCATCGTCATTCAGCACAGCCCGTCTCGTAGTTGGTGACCGCTCGGAAGGTGTCGAAGCTGGAGACCCCGATTTCGAGTGTGCTGGGCGACGCGGCTCGATCTCGCTGTCTGAGTCGGAGCTGGACATCTAAAATTCATTTATTGTAGAATTTCAGACACGAAAACAGAACGCTCAACGAAAACAGCTGTACAAATAAAATAAACAACTTTCAACTAACTATCTCATAATCACGACCAACACATCGGAAAAGAACACAAAATAACGCTGGGCCTTGGTGACATCTTAGGAGCTTTGTTTGGCTTCTTGCTTCTGTTGCTCTTCGATCTTCTTCACGATCTCGAGGCTGACTGGTGCTGAGGCCTCCGGTCGACTTACACCATCTCCAAGCACCTTCGTCCGCTGGATACCCTGCTTCGGTTTTATCCACCGTGGATAGACCTTGTCATGTAGCCGCCAGCTACTCCCTTGTACCGAAATATGGTTCTCAAAGACGACGTATTCGACGGCATCCCGCGTCTCGACTTCCGAGCCGACGAGTAGTTTTCCAAAGCGATCGTAGACGGCCAACTTTTGCCGGGTGTGCATTCGGACAGTCACTTGGGCAACATCGTTGCCAGAGTTAACGGGAATGTCCGAGCACCGGATAGAAACGACCTTATGTGGCTCGACAACTTCAACCAGCTCCCATTTGATCGAGCCGGTTTCCACGTCCTTCCACATCTTCTGGAAAGCGTTTTCCGTGGCAACCCGATGAAGGGCCTTCCGATCTCGGCTCATTAGCGCTTCGTGTGCTTCCTTGTAGACAAATTCGGCCGTCGGCCCAAAAGTTTTGGGCGAAAAATTAATGCCTTCTTTCCGGTTGATTCGGCGTGTCCCGTTCCTCCAATTATGCCACATATGCAGGCCACGATCTTTTACTTCCGCGAATTTTGCCTTGCCCGATTCCACAGGGTTCGTCGAAAATAGCGGGACCTTTTCTTCCAAATCAACGTACGGATCAATTACGGAGTAGAAAGACGTCTGGGTAACTTGAGCTTCTTGCCAGTTCCTTGGAGACACATCCTTGTAGGGGTTGATCCCTTTCTTTAACAATTCCAAACGCAGTTGATCGGGCGGCAGGTTGTTCAGCTTCTGCTCCTCTTCGTATTCGGGCAAGTCAATCATCACGGTTTTCTGGCCACGTAGTTTACGAAATCTACGTTCCTTGACATGGGTATTCCGGTTTGCCTTCGCCCTGTTCGACCGGGCCAGGCCCAGGTAGCGTGCAATGTCCCCTCTTTCCATGTGGTGATGGACTTCACGTTGTGGTTGCACCATTCCGAGCACTGAAGGTGTCAACCTCAAGGAGAAGAGGCTACGCGACAGCATCCTAAAACGATGGTGTTTTCGGGGCAGATTTGAGTTTCGAAAGCAGTGATTCGAGGACAAATGAGGTACACCGGGGTTCAAGAGTCATCCCAAGTTTTCTAGATTAATTATATTATAGAAGAAAAGTTATTTTCACGTTGTGAAACATAAATTTCTAGGATAACTTTCACAAAAGAACTCAAAAAAGATCCATTACAACCTCAAATTCTCGGAGCAGCCGCACGCTCTCCACACGGTCCTGTTGCCGTTTGTAGTGTGGCGCAATACTTCGCGTAAATTAAAATATTTTCATTTTTGAAAGACTTTTTCTTTTATTTTCTAAGCTTTTTCTTTGTATTTCTCGTTTTTTTTTTAGTTTCTAAACCTAGGCGTGAGCCTCAGCGTTAGATTATCCCGTAATCTATACATCAATTTTTCAGTTCTTCGGGCCGCGACAGGCCTGTATGAACCAGATCCAGGACCTCGGACAGGTAGCTCGTGCTTATTTTTCACAATTCCCGCTTTAGCTACGCGAATTCCTGACGGTTTACAACACCCTTACCGAACGCTGCTTCCGCGACTGCATCAGCGAGTTCAACGTCCACAAACCAGTCCCTCAAGAGCAGGACTGTGTCACTAAATGTATGTTTCGGGAAAGGTTCTAATCTCGTTTTAGGCATTGAGAAGTCTATGCGAGTGAACCGCCGTTTGATGCTAAGTTTTGCTGATCTTGGACCGAAACTACTGTTCAAGCAAGGAGAGCCAACCGCTACCGAAGCCGTGAAAATTGCTAGTGCTGCTGGTCAGTTTTTGTTGCGGGAAACCTAACCTCAACCTAGAAGCGCAAAAGTTGAAAGAAGCCAAGAAAGATGAAGCTAGTCAATGAGCATGGATTCCGTGCTGATGGCAGGAAGCCGTTGCAGGTTGGTTTTTCTTGAAAAACTATAATTTTTGTTTAGATTCGTAATATTTCAACCCAAATGGGTATCGACTCACAATCGGACGGATCTGCATATTTTGTTCAAGGAAATACGCAGGTCGCTAGAAAGCTTCATTCTTTATTTTGGCCTTCAGGTTATCTGTCATATTTATGGGCCCCGTGAGCCTACTCAGCGAGGTCGTGTCAAAGAAGATCGGGCATTCATCAATTGTCACTATGAGCGTTTCCTGAAAGGAAGGTCGAATATACAAGGGGGCAAGCGGAGGTAATTTTTTTTCCTTGGAAATAATTTGTTTGGAAGGCGACCCGGGAAAGAGCGGAAAGCCGGCGATGTGGAACGACTCGTTGAGAAGACCTTCGAAACCGTGATTTTTACGGAGAACTATCCGAAGACGCAAATCGATATACATCTGATGGTGCTCGAGGTAATTTTTGGTGGATGCATAACTTTACTAAATTGTTTAGGAAGACGGTTCGGTGCTGTCGACCTGCATCAATGCTGCTTCATTGGCGCTATGTGATGCTGGCGTGGCAATGAAGGGCGTTGTTTCGGCAATCACTTGTGGTATGGCCGAAGGAAAGCCGATTTGTGATCTGAACAACCGGGAAGAGAACGACCTCGTACCACGAGTCACGGTACGACTTACTGCATATTTACGAAATCAAAACTATTATTTCTAGCTGGCCACTATATCCGGACAAGATGAGGTGGTGATCACTGAGCTTCAAAACCGCGTTCACATTGACAGCCTGACGGCTTTATTGGAGACGGGCAAGGTGAATTTCCGCAGATTTCGGGTATTTGCACTTTTAGACAATGTGCGGATCCATTCATGATTGTCTACACACTGCTATCCGGGACCATCTTCTACACACAATCCCGATTTCTTAATTTCGACTTTTAGGACTTGCTAAGAAATATTAGCCGTATCAGTTGTTCGTTCTTTCATTTAATTCCTTGTTGATAAATAGTTGATCACACAAGTTGTTTCCGGTATATGGTTGTCACACTCACAAGCTTGGTATATTATTGAAGACTTCTTCGGTCGATAGACTTCCATCAAGGACAAATGGGTTTATTTTAGGCGGAGGTATACGCTGGTTGAGAAGGGATCCTGGGTTGAATGCTGAAGCCTCAATCTGGAATTCGGCCTTTGATCCGTCTGACTAGAAAGGTAATTTGTCTTCCGCTTTGTTTACCTGATCCAGGCCTCGGCATCCGCTCCAGCCGATGGCTTTGGCAGCTTCGTGGATGATTTGCTGAAGGACCGACCAGCATTACAGAACGGCCATAGTAATTCTGGTTACTAGTTTGGCTAATAATTGTAGGTTCGGGCCGCATCGATCCGGAGGGATTTGCCACGAAGAAGGCTGAGGTCGAGGCAGCCAGTGAATTGAGCGTTGGACAGGCTGTTAGCTACCTTCTCTACGCTAGCCAATATGGAATCCCGAAAGAACGTGTTCATCTTGCGGAGAGGTAACTGTTGAGTCCCGTTGTAAACGAATTTTTCTTTCAGTGTCGCTGCAAAATCAGGATCTGTGCAGGCGAAACAACAAATAGAAAAGTTGAAATTGCATGATCTTTGCCATTCGTTGTCGGTTCTGTTAGAAGCAGGCTTGACGAAGTCAAAAACGTACGAAGCCCTCGTTTCGCTGTGTGCTGAAGCGCTCAAAGAAAATCGTGTAAGGCTAAATTGGAGAAAAAAAATGTAATTCCTTTTCGTATAGTCAGCGGCCGATTCATCGTCTCTGATTCGCGTTTTATCGATCAGTGGCACCCACACGAACGGTCTTCCGGAGGATCTCTATCATGGATTATGTGGTGAATTGAGCAAGTCGATCAGGTTGGTTTTATGCGTCTACCGCATTCTAAATTTTTTTAGAACAATCGAGACGCCGGCTGGACTTCTCGGCGCGCTCAAGGTCGCTAAATTCGCATCCGGTGAAGAGATGAAAGAGTTTATGGATCTGGTATGCTGGATAGTTCTTACAATGTTAGCCTTCTAGATCGCCGAGAGAGCGCCTCAGTTTTTCCCGGTGATGACTCTTGCCGAACGAGTGTCCTTCATCAAGCATTTGGCCGATCAAAAGTGTCGCTATATGCCATTGCTCAACCCACTGATCGCGCAAATTTCCAAGTATCTTTTGTTTGTTCACTCCAAAATATCTTTAGATCATCGGAAACGTTGAGCCTCAAGCAATGTGTTTCACTTTTGGCAAGCACAGGCACTTTATCGCTATACGATGCTCGGCTTTTCATCCGCGTAAGCACTTGGTGTCGACTAGAGCAATTTGTTGTAGATTGTCTCCGATCTGACAAAAGACAGCGCGCCGGATTTCACTACTTGGGAGCAAGTCACTTCGTTGGGTGACAATCTCTCACGGTTCGATCAGACGGCTCTCCTCCGACGTGCTTTAGGCGGCGCATTGTTGACCAGCGAGTATGGAAAAAGTTGTCCCGATCCGCAGTCAAGATTTTTGATGAGAAGCAACGGCGGGAAGCGAGCCGATTCTTGACAGCTATGGCGCGCGTTGGTGTTACGAATGAGGTTAGATTACCAGGTGTGAAAACATTCGGCTTTAGGACGGGGTGGAGTTGGCGCAACGTCTTGCCACCAGCCTCGACAAAACCCAAGCACCGTCCGAGACTGTCTGGGTTCATCTGTAGGATTTCTTGGAAAATAACTCTATTTTTCTATGCTTTAGCCTATTTACGCTGGCTTATTATGGTGTGCTACCCGGTAACCTCGCGGAATCCGTCCTGACGCCCGTGTTTTTTGCGCAGCTTCGGAAAGCCCATACGTGAGCTGCCTTGCCACTACAAACCTTTTTCGTTTAGCAAGAAGGATGACCGTAACTACTTGCATACGCTTTGCGAGTTGATGCTCATCAACTCCTACGTCAAGCACTTTATCCCCGGATACAAAGGCCCGACGCTCGATATCGAGAGCGTGGTCGACTTCAAGGCGCTGGTAGGGCACAAAGTCCTTCTTTTACACGCATTTTCTAGACCCCACTAATCCGCAAGAACAAATATGGCAATTTGGACCAGCCGTTGCTGCTGCAAGTATTACATCTGGTAATTAATCCATTTTTGGGATCTCGTATGATCTTGTTAAGGTCATGCCTGCCGACTACTTGCATCCATCTTATTTGAGCAACACTGGCCTTTTCATTGATACCGAAGTCAAAGTAGGCAAACTTTATAGCTGGCTTCTAATATTTTTTTAGCCTCAGAAGAATTCAACGACATGCATCCCGGTGAAATACTGGGAAAAGGACGGCTCGCGAACTAGGCCGATAATTTACTACCGATGGAATAATGTAAATGCTTTTTATGATTTCCAATGCAAGAAATTTAGTTGGCCTTTTCCCTGGGATTGGAAGCTTCCAAGAATTCGGGGCCCGAGGAGCGCCTGCTTGGAATGGATCAGCTTGCTTTGCAATTGTTAAAAAAAGAAGGTTCGTGGAGACGACTTGTTCAAAAATATTGATTCTAGGCTATGATCCAATCGTCATCTTCGAGCCGGATTTCCTTCCACTTGATAGCGTGTCCAAGAAGTCCGACTATCTCAAAAAGCGTATTTATAACTGATCCTCACGCATTGTTAGGAATAGAATAGCTATCGGAATAAAGACCTTTAAAATTATGTTTTTTTAATGGAAAGTGCGCTCAATCGCCAATTGTTTTGGTTGGTATCAGGGCATCCTGTAGTTGTGATTTCCTATAGGTATGGCGTCGGGGCGCCTCGTCGGCTGGAGTGGAGCAACGCCTCATAATGACCTCCTGCAGCCTAAACCAATAGTTTGTAGCATTGTTGATGTAATTTTTGTTTTTAGAATCCGCTACACATGTACCACAAAACGGTAAGTTCATATTATTTTTTACCTTCTTTCGCCGTCCCTCAAGTCTCCGTAAAAATTTGAGTTCAGGGCTCGCAGGCTGACTTGTTTGGTTTGCCAACTTTTTTTTGTATAGGCGGGCTCGTTAGCCGAGGAGGCAATGGCATGGGTGATCATCGACGAACCGCTCCACAAGGTCATCAAGGCTAACGGTTCCTTCCAATACTTCGTCCACTTCCCCTATGCTGAGGATGCGGTATGGCTTCGAGCTATTTGTAATTCCAGTCTAGCGACCATCGAGGATTCCCAGACTCGGGATCATTACTTACTTTGAAGATTGTCAGGAGGACGTAGTTGATCTAATGAGAGAACCGGACGAATTGTTCAAGCTCGTCCACAGCATGCCGTAAGAACCTTTGGCAGGATCAGGTTGTTCGGTTTTAGCTCAGCTCTGGTCGAGGATGGAAGGGAGGTACTTTTCTACCCTGGAGATACGCTTGGAGTCACCATAAACACCATTCCCAGTTTTTCGTTCCGTATCTTCCTCTATAGGTTCGTTTCTCGTGGCTATTTTTATCTTCGTTTCAGACGTGGCGACGGCCATACGCCCAGTCTTCGTTCTCAGCCATATCAATTCCACCCGGATTGCCGTATTGGTGACCAGTTCAAATTTTACTTGTGCGTCTACAATATGAAGGCAGTTACCAACGGAAACGTGGTATGCCCTTCTTTAGTAGAGTGTCTTAAAAGGAATAACTTTGAGGTGATATTGGACTTTTTCGTTATGACCTAGCTCATTCGCTCGAGCTTCAAATTCAGAACCGGGCTCGCCTTTTCTAAACTGCTAAATGGTACGGTCTTCAAAAAAAAAAACTGTCCAAAGTTTGCATTTTTGTTATGCGCGAGCGAATAATGGGCAAAATCGGCCCTCTCAGAGCAATTTTTTTCGAAGACCTTAGTCGTTCAGCCATTTTATAAAAGATGTGTTTGTTCGGAATTTGAGCTCTATCGAATGAGCTTTGTCGCATTGAAAAGTTCCGATATCACCTGAAAATCGCCCATTTTGAGTGTTTTTCTCCGTAAAGCTGGTCCAAACACCTCTTTTCAGCTCTTCTTTGAAATTCGTGGCGAGGCAGAGCATAACGAATTAGCCACGTCCAACCATCGACGCCAAGAAAACGATATTTGCGCGCTTTGTATGTCGCATAATTATTTTCTTTTATTCCCATCCTAGGCTGTGATCGCGTCAAGCAATGGACCTTCGCCTGTGGACACATCTTTTGCAAAGTTTGTGCCGAGAAAGCCCTAGTGAATAACCTACCAGCTGGCTGTCCGGATCAATACCGTTGTCCAATTCGTTGTCGCTCCAGTCGTAAGTGTCATGGATTTTTACATCGTGTTCGGTATTTTTTTCAGCTCTGCTTTTCCCGGTTCGGTACCTCTATTCGCTGTGCGTGGTTGATAACTGCCGGCCGCGGAGTTTCGAGGGATACTGCGCACAACCTTGCGGGTATATTTTGAGCTAATTTTGGTAGTAATGTTTGTAAATTTGAGAGGTTCTCTTAGTATCTCCACTATATTGTCTACCACACCCTAAACTCATTAATTTAGTTGCTTCTACGGCCCGTGCTTGCCGACAGGACGATCGGGACAACAAATCTGGAAAAAGGGCGAAGAAAACTGGTTTCAATCGGTAATTTGTTTTCTACGCTATACATGACTTTTTTCAGACTCAAGGTGATGCTCAATGTCTCCGCTGTGAGAGGCAGGTCGATTACTTGATGAAGATCTTTCCTTGATTTTTGCATTTTCCTATGAGCACATTGTCGATAAAGGACGGGTATTACCTCAACTAACGTGAACTGTAAATGATTTTCCTGTGCTTCTTGACTACTTGTGATTCCCCTTTTAATCGATCAGTGGGGATTTTACTCCTCCGCCTGTGCTTGCTGCCGGCATAATTTTGTGATTAACCCCTGTGAATAAAAGATGATCACATCCTATCGGATCCAGTGTTTCTCATAAAAAAGCCTATGGGCCATTGGCAGCATGACCTTTCTCTGCCTGTGAATGGGTGTGGCGGGAAGGGCATGGGGCTAGGCGGGAAGACGGATAGTTCGAATGGCCAGTAATGTACCAGATAGCCCCTTTTCGACTAAAAGAATAGTCATTTTCTTGTTAAAAATGTATAAAAACACAGGAAGCGTAGCCGTAAGTGATTGGAGAGTAATAATATGCGTCTTGCAGTTCTATGAATGTGGCCAACTGGTGGCTCCGGCTTTCTTGGAGGCTTCGGAGTCAACTTTACAACTGTGGTATCATCCCGGGCCCGGTGGAGCTTTCTCCAATACAGGTGTGTAATAAAACCGAAAATAGAATAGTGTTTACTGCCCGGAATTTCAATTTGATGTCTTTTGCAGTGGAAGGAAGAACCGTCAAGCGCAAGTATACCACGATCCTACATCGAGGCATTGACAACAGAGCAGAGAGACTACTATTTGGGTATCGAGCGGGAGGTAATGAGTTGTGAATGGATCTTATTTGTCCATTTTAGGTCAGGTTGCTCTCGAGGCTCCTCCCCCTCTTCCCATCGGCCATCTCGGAGTCGCAATGGAAACACTTATCGGAATGTCAGAATATGAAACAACGCCTGGAGCAGCTAAAGGTAATGAAGCATGCCCCCTAAATGTCAATTCCTTTTTCAGTTCTATCGAAAGATTGAACTGCAACGAGAAAGAGATGCAGCCAATCGGGCAGAGAGGCGAGATTCCAAGAAGGCGAATCCATTGGAACCATCGACTCCCCATGAATCGTTCATCTATTACAACCCAGCGGCGATTAATAGATTGGAGAAAAATGTAGGAAATTAGAGGCTGCATTCATTTTTGTCAGATGGAAGGTTGCCGAGAAGCGCGAGCGTATCAAACTGACGATCTCCCGATATTAGCAGTTGATTGCCGATATTTGAAGGACTTGTCGCCAAGAGGGGCTAGTCTGACTGGCGCGCAGGTGTGTTTTCTATGGGTTTTTAGATGGATTGGTTTAGTTAAAAATACTGATCACCGGCAATAGGGACTTTGCCGAGCCATGGCCGCTGTATTTTTTGAATTGGGACGAGAAACATGACAGGTGCGCGTGATTTTCTTGCTGTTCTATAGATATGATTTAGGTACGAAGCGTTGCGTCAGAAATATTTGATGGCCTTCGACTCTTCTGCACGAATCAACGGTGTTGTATCTCCGAAGAACTACGTCGACATTTTTGATGCTGAAAGGGTGGTGTATATGAGCCCACATGCAGAAGAGGAAATTGAAAAGGTAATAATTGAAAGATTTCTAATGGTTGATCGACTCCCTGCCTTATTTTGGTTAACCGCTGACTTTTAGGTAGAAGCTGGTGTCACATATGTTCTGGGCGGTATCGTCGACAGAGTCAAGGAGTCTGGCATCAGCCCCACCGCTTCTGCCGATTCCGCCCACAAAGATGGTGTCAGATGCCAAAAACTGCCGCTTGATCGGTAGGCCATTTATCGATCACGTACGTACAACTTTTTTTAAGATATTTAACCTGGAAAAGTGGTACGCGGTACCTTACACTCCCAGCCGTCCAAGCAATACTCCACGACGTGCACGAAAATGGAGGGGACTGGCACGCAGCCTTCGAGAAGCATATCCCAAAACGAAACCTCAGAGGAGCCGACGAAAAGAACGAAAAAGCACGCCTCTACCACCAGGCCATTCGCGTCCAAGATCGGAATATATTGCAGATGGTCGAGAAAAGATTGCGATAATTTGTTGATTTGTTGTGCCAGCTTGTTTTGTGTCCTCTTTCTACTTTTCAATTTCCGCCACTTTTTATGCATAGCTAAAGCTTTTGTTTAAAGAATTTTATTACAGACGGCCGACGCCCTCCTATAGATGAACAGAAGGTTCGGGTCGGCATTTACGAGGGAGGCCGTCCAGTGAGTATTTTCAAACCCCATAGTCTCGATTCTGCAGCTACGAAATCTATCGCTTTTTTTAGACCTAATCGTCTATTCGCAGACCATCCGCGCAATGATCGGCCAGACATGAAAGGTTGCTTCCGCTTTTTCCATTAAACGGTCTTTTTAGTTGTATCTAACCACGCTAGTCATCAGCCGTTTCCCGTCCATGGGCAGGATCGAGACGTTGCGGAGCTGGATGAGTTTGATAACGATTTCCTGGACGTAAAATTGCGCATTATTTCTCAATCCGATGCTTAGCGTGAATTGCAAGAGCCAGACCAGCTCGACGCTTTGTTTGGCCCCGGCGGCGGTGAAGATGATTGGATGGATGAGGTCGATTAGCAAATATTTTATTGACTTTTTTTTGTTTAGATAGACGTTTCCTTATTCGCCAGCGACGTGGCGGCCACTGGATTTGATGTGGTAATTTGCAGAAAAACAGCAAATTGTCCCTTTTAGAACCCGAAACCGAACCCCGCAACCCCTGTTGTCCCATTTGCCACCATCGATGGACGACGTTATTTGAAGCCGTGCTACTCGTACTCGTGTATGATCGCCTTGGCGCTGCGCAACAGCAAAACGGGCAGACTGACGGTATCCGAAATCTATGCATTCATGTGGTATGCGACATTCGATACTTCAATTGATCACCTATATTTAGCGAGAATTTCCCCTATTTCAAAGCGGCGCCTTCGGGGTGGAAGAATTCGGTGCGACACAACCTTTCGCTGAACAAGTGCTTCATGAAGATCGAGCTGGAAACTCTCGGGCCACAGGTATGGGTCATTTGGGTACCAAATCCATTTTTTTAGGGACGGAAGGCTTGTCTATGGATGATTCGCCCTGAAAAAGCGACAAAAATGGAGACCGAATTGTTGCGGTGGAGGGACAAGGATGTCGATGATGCGATTGGGCCCTCTAGTAAGTCCCGAAAAAAGTTGCTGCAAATTGTGTTTAGCAAACATCGAAGCCGTTTTGGCCGGTACCTTTGGCGTACCTCGCGAAGACCGTACAGTCATGGAGATTGAAAATCAGCAAAAGGCAAGCAATGAGGTGAGAGCGAATTACCTGGTGCTCATCATTTTGCCAGATCCTGCTCGCCAGCAATTCGGGGATGAAGCACGACCCGGATACGCCGATAATGATCAAGACCGAGACCCGCCCGCTCAGCACCATCAATTCGCACCCGGGTCCTTCGAGAGCCGTCCTCGACCTGAATGATCGTCTGGGGATAACTTTATCCGAGACGAAGCCGCCGCTTCGGGTGAGTTGTTTTTTGTGAACTCTCAAAATCCCGAATTTTGAGTCGAGATCCAAATAGCCAAGTAGTTTTTGACATTTCTCATGACTACAATTCTTTTTAGATGTCGTCATCCAATCCATCATTCCCAGTCCGTGTAGCCGATCGCCCACCGAATACCTTAAACCAAGCCGGTCCCTCAGTCGGCCCTCGACCGCCGCCGCATAAGCCCAACATTCTGCGGGTAAGCCAGCTTCCCCATTCAGTGACTTGCCCTAGCGCTCCACCGCTCTGCCGGCCGTCAACCGTTTCCGCATCCTGCGATCCCCGGTCAAAGGTCTCGGCCAATTGATGCCGTCCGACCTCTCGAGGCTCGAGATCACCCCGAAGAAAGAAGACGCCCCGCTGGCCGGCAAGTCGCCACAGAAAGAGTTGGTGACCGAGTCGAATTTTGATCGTTTGGTTTGTAGGGGCCGCCAAATTATCGCCTCGCCAGTTCGCGACATCCTCAACCCGTTCGGTTTCATGGAATCGGCAGTCTCGGACAACACGTTAATGGACTGTGCCCTCGATCAAAGCCCAATGAAGGACGCGCCCGTCTCATTCAGTGCCGATCTGGTCTACCGCTAACATCAAAACCTAATTTTTTTCCCCCACGAATGTATCAATATTGATTATAACTTTACCGTATTTCTGTGTACATATTCCTTTTATGATGCGCTGAGAAATTGCCTAACTGGCGTTAACTTTCTCTCGATGTTGTTGTGAAACCGATTATCTGTTTCTTTCCCTTGCTGGCCAACGGGCTGGTCCCCCACGCCAAAGTCTTTCCCGATTTTTCATGTCCCAGGTTCTACATCGTTACCATCTTCCATCCGTATGTGCTTTCAACCTACCTCACTTACATCGATAAATGCCTTATTGGAAAGTAGCTAGCGTAATCACGCACAACGGTTTGGTCGGATATCTGGGGATGTTTGGAGAGCCAAAATGACAGCAATGGTTTGAGACCGAAAAAGTACGAGCTAGCAGTAGTAATTTATAGGGCGCGCTTATGTAATTGAGGGCATTTTACTGCGGATTTATTTCAGAAATGGACCATCCGCCTGCGACGATCCCGGAAGATATACAGCGCCGCCAAATCGTAAAAGTAAGTCCTACTTTTGGTACTGAGCTGCCGGCAGGGGAAAACTAACTTTTTTCCGCTTATTGTAGTTTTTGATTGCTAGAAAATTAAAAAAATTGTCGGAAATGTTGAACTTTCCTGGAAATTTTTTGTTCATAAAATTTTCAAAAATGTTTACAATTTTATGTGCTTTTATGTCCTACCCAAATTGTGAAAAATGCAATAAAAATGTTGATAATTTGTTTGTAGAGCCGTAAAGGGTTGCTGAGAGAATTTGGTTTTCCCCTGCTAATCATCTAACTAATTTCTTTCAAATACAAATCCACTTTGAATAAATAACTTCAAATAACGGTTATTCAAATAAACCGAAACGGTTATTTAAATAACCGTTCGCCCTTACCGCCGATTCAAATATATTTGAACATGTTCAAATAAGACCGACCTTTTTCAAATCGCTCTCCTTTTGACAAAATGGAGGCAAATCATTCATTCAAATAGCAACATGTTAAATTTCAAGAAAGATTTGGATAAAATATCAACGCCGAAATGTCGACAAGGTTCGCAGTGCCGAATTGCAGAATACCGACATTCAAAATGTCGACACAAAAATACCGACATCATGTTTACTGTTTACGTGATGATAGATTTGCCTTCTGGCGAAAAAAGCGCCTTCGGCATTTTAGTTTGTCGGCATTTTGGCTTGTCGGCATTTCAGAATGCCGACATTTCCGTCGGCTTCTGGCGATTAACAGATTGGAATATCCGCGTTTTGCTGAACACACAAGGGTTAAAATGGGCAAAATACAAAATACCGAAAAACACCGACATTTCGATTTTCGGCATTTTAGCATCAATAAAAATGGTCCAGGATGATATTCTAACAGTTACAAACGACCCTCTTTGGTTCAATGGCCGCGGATTTCAAAATTTTGTTAGGCTCGGCAACTGGCTTATGAATATGTCTATATTTGAATCGGGGCGGTGTGGGTTATGACGATATTGAATAACCCAGAGGCCTTCAAATAATTATTTGAGCGGGCTTGAACATATCAAATAATTATTCAGCCCGACACCGCTAACAGTCCAGTAACTTACTCTGAAGCAAGACTTCTTCTTTCAGGCTCCACCCTCGATCTACTACATCCCCGATTTTATTTCGGAACCCGAAGAGGAGATCCTTTTAAGCGAGGTAAGCCGCCTTCATTTTTGCCCTCACATTCCTCATTATAGGTATACAACGCGCCGAAGCCCAAATGGGAAGTACTGTCGAATCGGCGGCTCCAAAACTATGGCGGACTGGTGGGGAAGAAGGCGTTAATCGCCAATGACGACTTCACTCCGGTAATCGTGGCAGCTGGCTTTTCATCTGATTTAGGCTCTACGGCAAGCGATGCAGCTTATCGATGGACTTGAGGTGTTTCCCGCTCCGACGAATCATATTTTGGTGAATGTGAGTCTTGGCTTTACCAAACCTATCAACACTTTCTTAGGAATACGAAGCTGGTCAAGGCATCATGCCACACACAGATGGGCCGGCCTTCTACCCCCTTGTCTCAACGATCAACCTCGGCAGCCATACGCTGCTTGACATCTATGACCAAGTCGACCCACAGGTCCGTGACACAACATTTTTGTCACCCCACTTTAGAATCTTACCGCTTTGGAAACGCGATACCGGGGCTCGATCTTTTTGCAGCGGCGCAGTTTGGTGCTAATAACGGACGACGCGTATCGCAATATGATGCATGGAATCCGGGTATGGTATTTGGATGCAGTTGGAACCACTTTTACAGGAAGTGAAAGAAGACGTCATCGATGGGAAAGTATGGAATGCACCGGAAGAATTATTGGGCCAGACATTGACGCGGGATACGAGGTAATTCCTTTCGTCGTCATCCTGATGCCTCGTTTTTTCATCTAAGAGTTTCGTTGACGATCCGCCACGTTCCGAACGTGGCTCGACACTCGCTCCAGTCTTTGGTGTTTAAAAAATGATGCAAATCTAATAAATTTTATCCCGGTATGTGATATGTGATTTTGCGGTTTTTTATGATAAAGTTTTACGTTTTGGCTCTACGACAATCACAAATAGACTGCCAAAGCGCTTCAACCGTGGGCACCGGGGATTTTGGGTAATCGCTAGCGGCAGGGCGGCCTCCGTTGCGCATCCCGAAGGACCCGACGAAGACGGTTGCCATACGACGGAGCGACGCCCAAATTACCCATTCTAACGCCTGAACACTCCCAAACTAAATTTTAGATTTTTCCTGCTCTTGTTTTTGGGATTAGCATCACGTTATGAAAATATCTAATACTATTTAATAATACTATTTAATCTTCGTAATGTTTTTTTCGCGTATAACATTCTATATTCTATCTATTTTCGATTCGCTAGTGCATTAAATTACTATGAAAACCATTTTTTAGAATTTTAAAACATTTAGAAATATGGCCTCAGATCGCCTCTGCGGCTGCAATGTCGTCACCGCAGCGGGAATCGCAGTTTCTCTACAGGTAGGTAGACCGGAAAGGATCATTTTATAGCAATAATGCCAGTTGATCATCGACCTGTTGTGCTTGGCGTCGGGCGGAATCATCCTCGACCGGTTCCGCACCTGGGAATCCGTCTACGGCTGGCCGGCCATTAATGCGACCGAGGCGGCAGAGTATCAGGCAGCTGTAAGGATTAGAAAGCGCCATATATAACCTCTGGAATTGACATTTCTAGACCCGAAAATTTTAGGGAAAAACCCTGACCGTACAACCAAACTACTGGGCCCAAGCATGGGTCGAGCTGGGCATGGCTTGGTAAAGGAACCCGATAAACAGGTTGCAAAAAAATTTAGGTACGTGGCCTTCTGCTCCTTCTGGCTGTTCTCACTATTGATCATCTGCCTCTCCTTCAAATACTACCGCCCCGTCTTTGTCATCCCGAATTTCATGGCGCTGCTCGTCGGCATTTTCATGCATTTGTTCGCGTTTGGTAGGCCGTATTTTAGCTAAAAACTAAAGCTAAAAAGGCAAAAACTAAAACCACATTTTCCAGCTGTGCTGATCGCGCGTGTGCTGAAAGTGAGCAAGAACTACCAGACGAAGGCCTATGAGGCGGTAAGGAAGAGATTTTGGGCCTCAAAATATCGATATTCTACGTGATGCTAACCTAAAAATTGTAGGTCATCTTCATCTACTGCATGGGCCTAATCCTGTTCACCTTCCTCATCAACCTGCTGTTCCTCATCTTCATCTCGCGCTACCACTCGTTTCTCCGCGCACGCTACGGCCATCAGGTGCCAAAGGTAAGAAAATTGGTACTGGACTGTTAGTGGGGGGGGGGTAATCCTGTGTGTCCTTATAGCGGTATATAACCCATTTTTATAGCATTTTACACAGTTTTTGATTTAGAAAAATCAGGAAATAATGTAAAAAATTCGACTTTTTGTCAAAAACGTAGGCAAAATGACTAAGAGGGTAGATTCCAATTTTAAAACGTTTTGCAAAAGTTTTAAAAAGATTTCCTATTAAGCAAACTGGCAAGTATGAGCGGAAAAGTGAAAATTAACTTAAAATTAACAAAGTATTTCTTTCTGTAGTAGTATGTAGTATTTCTTTTAGCCTTTTCAGAGTTACAAATCTGAATCCTCTTTCAGTTTGTCCAATCGAGACCGCCGAGGACCGCATACCCCGACGACAACCATTATTGATTTGTTGACGACTTTTTGCTGTAATTTTCGCCTTGATAAATTCCCCAAATTTCCGTTGCGCAACGCTTGCAAGCTCTGGCGGGGGATATGGATGGGTACGGGCTGTTTGTGTGAGTCACACCCGGCGCTGAGATCAGCCTCCCCGGTTACAGCAAGAGGCCAACGGGCTTGGCCATCCCAGGGCAGACGACTGCCCATCGCTCACGCAGGGACCGTCGCCCATCGGGATCGGGGATCAAGCGGTCGGACTGAATTGAAATTCGGAGATTGGTTCTTGGGCAATATCGGGGGGGGGGGACATTTTTCTTGCTAAAAGCCCAGAAATGCCTGGTAACGGAATAGTAAGTGTTTTCATAATATTTTTAGCAAAATTCAACTCTGTTTGAAGTGGGCAAACAATAAAAAAAACTGATAAAAAATTTGGAGCAAACATTTTTTGGGGGCATCTTTTTTTGGAGGCTTTTTCCCGGCTAATCTTGTCTCAAAGCTTAAGCCCAATCCTACGCTAATCCGAAGCTAGCTTTAGGCCAAGTCTAAGCTAGGGCCGGGCGAAGCCTAAGGTAAGCCTAGACTAAGCCTAAGCTAAGCCAAAACCAAGCCTAGGCCTAAGCTAAGCCTAAGACAAGCGTACGCAAAGTTAAAGCTAAGCCTAAGCCAAAGCCTGGGCCCCAAAAAAACCGGAAAATCGGCCATGTTTGGTCAAAAAATCCATATTTTTTTTTTTGTATTTTTAATACAAATTTGTAAACTTCTTGCGTTTAGGAGCAGTAAGAAGCGCTTTAAAAACACTTCCTAGACTTTTACAGTCTACAAGAAACCCTAGTCCACCGCCCGGCACCCCCGCCAACACATCTGGCCCCCGGCGATACGCCCGTAATTATTTTTGCGGGCCACGTAGTGTATGTAGCCGAAGGGCACATTGGCCCCTAGTGCGTGCCCTTAGACTAGGGCCCTCACTCGGCCCCCCGGGAGATGTTTATAAATTGACAGATCAGCCGGGGGCAGACATTGCCGGGGCGCCGTTGGCTTGGGTTGCTTGCTGTGGCAGTTCACACCGGAATGGCTGGCCGGGTGGCTGCCGCCATCCGCCGTAAAATATGAGCGATCGTCGAGCGTAATTAGGAGCCCAGTGGCGTGAATGAATTGCGAAATCTGGAGGCGCTAACAGCGAAAAGCAAAAATTTCTAAAGCGCGTAATGGGTAAGGATGCGTAGTATCGTAATGTAGTCCAAACATAGGTCACTGTAATTTGGCAGCTTTTGCATGATCGGGGGGGCGAGATCCACCTAACACTATTAAAAACTTTAAAAAATTGCTTTTCCACGAATTTTAAATTTTTGAAACTTTTTCGAGGTTTTTAAAGAGTTTTTACTTAAATTTTGTTAAATTTTATGAAAACACTATTAAAATATCGGTTACCAGGGACATCTAGCCTTCTAGGTAAAATAATCCAGCCTTCCCCGGCGGTTTCGAAGGCGTTTTTCGCCTACTAGGTTCTTAGGCAATATCGGGGGGGGGGTAGGTCGAGAAATGGCTATTAACGTAATAGTACGCATTTTAATAGTGCTTTAGTAAAATTTAACTATATTTGAAGTGGAAAAGTAATTCAAAAGACCCGTAAATTGTCGAAATTTTAATAGAGTAAACGACATTTTTTGTATTCATACCTCAATAAACTCAGCCCGGCCTTCCGCCAGAAACCCTGCTAGCCAGCCCAACAACTCCTGCGCAAACATTTACCCCAATTTTACGAGCACATCGAACGGTGAGCTCGAGCTCCCAGACCTCGGGGTTTGGTCCCCAATCCCGGCTGTGGGCCTTCGATTTCGGATCGCCGTTAGGTGATGGTCCCTGGCCCCCCGAGGCAGGAGAGTATGGGCCCTAAGCATCTCTAAAGGCCCAATCGAGAAGGCCCAGTGTAATATGGGGATCCCTCGGACTGATGGGGAAGAGACCCCCACCAGCCAGGCACAGCCACCCTGCCCCAACACGGCCCAGCAGCAACCGGCAAAAGAAGCCGATCGCCTGGTTCGGGGTATTCCGCCAGCACTACTCGCAAAAAATGACCCGAAAAACGGAAGAAATGTTGCCAAGCATTAGGTGGTGATCTGGCAGTAGCTTCTCAAGAAAGGTTGAGGAAGGGGCACTTAACTGTTAGCGGGGGGGGGCAAAACAAAACGTACGAAAACGGAAAATTGCATTTTTATACCGTTTTTAGTAGCTTTTGATTTCTAAAAAGGTATAAAAATATTGCAAAATTCTGATAAATTGAAAATTTTGACCTGCTTGGCCATTGTTCATAGTATATGAACCTCATACATTTTTGCCCATGGACTCGAAATACTGGATAATTTAAACGCTTTTTCCGCTTTTTGGATGAAAATAAAATTGTAAATAGCTACAAAAAAGCTTTCCAGTCCGTTATACTGTAAGATATACGGGATGGCTAGAGAAAAATCGGTCTCCCCGCTAACGGTCCAGTACCGAGAATGTTACGGAAACCACCGAAAATCGAGGCGTTTAAAAGCAAATAAAAGGGGTTTAGGATTTCAGCGTTGCCAAAGTCGCCTACAACGACCTAGTTTTGACGCAGGGACTTTGTGAGATAATGGCATTTAAAAGAGCATTTTTTTCGAAATAACTCTGTTTAGACACCTGAGCTCTAATTTCCTCCCTCCTAGCCATTCGCGGCCACTTAAATGCCTATAAATTCGCGGCGCCGTACTCCAGCCGGAATTTGAGACATCTTTTGGGCCAGGCGCCGCGAAAAACAGGCGAGAGAGGGCGCGTTTTAGTGAGCAGGGGGCTTTGGGGACAGCTGCTGCCCGGCTGGCTCTCGCAGAGTACAGTAGGCGCGGGCAACGCGGGGCTCCTCTGGACGTGCCGGTGTCTTTCTGGTTCTTTTTTGGGGCGGACAGACAAGTGCCGCCTTCAGAGCTGACATATTGTTTGATGGTCGATCAGTATTGGGTGAGAGGGGGTTGGTCGAGAAGTCGGCTGTGACAACGGCCCGATTGGTGTTGCAGAGAATCGGGAGGAATGTTTACGAAAATGACGAATAGAAGGAGGTTGTAAACAGAAACTACTACCTAATCCTGAGCCTGTCAAGCCGAAGGCAAGCCTAAATCTAAGTAAGCCAAACCTAAAGCTAAGCCTAGGCCTAATCCGAAAGCCCAAGCCCAAGGCACGCCAAAGCCTAAGCCAAGCCTACAGCTAACTAAGCCAAACCTAAGCCTAAGCCTAAGCCTAAGTCAAAACTTAGCCTAAGCCAAGGCTGAGCCTATGCCAGCCTACGCCTAAGCCCAAGCCTCCGCCGAAACGAAAGCCGAAGCCTAAATCTAGGCCAAGCCTAAGTCAAGCCTAAAGCTAAGTAAGCCAAACCTAAGCCTACGCCTAAGCGGATCCTAAGCCAAGCCTAAGTTTAAGTCTAAAATAATCCTATGCCTAATAAGCCTAAATGCATCCCAAGCCAAGCCTAAGCCAAGCGTAAGCAAGCCGAAGCCTAAAGCCTAAGCCTAAGCCAAACCCATCACTTTAATGCCCCCATCCCATTTTTAGTGCCCCTGGCCACCATTTGGTGACTAATTTCCCGGTGATTGAGCCCCTCAATGCTTCTCCCCCCTAGCAAATGACCTTTTGGCCAAGGGGGAGGGGCCAACGCCGCGGAAGTGGCAAGAGGAGCAAGAGCCCCCCTGCTCCTCCTCCTGGCCCCCTTGGCTTCCCCCGAGCCAGAGTCCCGTCTCCCCCCACCGACGACTACTCCCACCGATGCGCTCTCTGCTGGCCATCGGCCTGATCGGCCTCCTATTCGTCGCCGGCCTCGACGCCGCCAAGAAGGTCGGTATTGCGTGCTCAATTCTGGGTCCTTGCCGCTGCTCAATTTGCATTTTTAGCTTCTATCTCTATTTTGAACCAAAATATTCGCATTTTCGGGATTTTTAGTCGATTTTAATCGTAGTAATTTTCCTAATAAAATCAATTCAATAATTAATCTAATAATTAAATTTAATCTAATTTAATAGGATTTTATTTAACTGGTTAAACAGGCCCAAATACCCATTTTCAGCTCCACAGTTGATTTTTAAAAATTCAAAAAGCTATAGCGTGCTTCCAGGACCCTCGATTTGTGATGTAAAAATCACCTTTTTTTAGGCGAAGAAGGGCAATGACTGGGATGAGCTCGAGTCCCTGCTCGAGGACATCGACGAGGACAAGAAGACGGTGAAGACCCAGCCCAAGGAGAAGGAGCCCCACGTCAAGCGCCCCAGGCCCAACCAGGAGAAGAAGGGTGAGCACGATATCAAAATTATGACGGTCTCAGGCTTGGGCTTCGTTCAGCTTAGGCTTAGGCTGGGGCCTAGTTCCGGCTTAGGTTTAGGCTTGGCTTAGACTTAGGCCTAGGTTAGGTTTTGGCTTATGCTAGGCTCAGACTTATGTTAGGCTTGGGCTTAGGCTCAGGCTTAGGTTTGGTTTTTGTTTGGGCTTTTTTTTGTTTTTTCGGCCTTTATTGGGGGTTTTTTTTTTTGGGTTTTTTTTTGGTTTTTTTTTGGGTGGGGCTGGGTCGGGTTTAGGTTAGATTCGGTGAACGTTTACGATTTGGCTTCCCAGGATGTAAAAAATATAAAAACGTTTTTTTAGTACCCGAGAAGAGCCCGTGCGAGGACCACGTCTGCGGATGGGGAAAGGTGCGTTAAAGCGATTTTTTAATGTTTTTATTAGTGTAAATATCCACATTTCTTTTTTCTAGGAATGCGTGGTCGACAAGAAGGGCGAACCGACCTGCGAGTGCATCGCCAAGTGCCCCGAGCTGGACGGAGACCCGATGGACAAGGTCAGTGCTCGATTCCCTGTTCCTTTCATTCGAAACATTATTTTATATTTTTCATTGCTTTTTATCAATATGCAACCCTTTCAGGTGTGCGCGAACAACAACGAGACGTTCGTCTCCCTGTGCGACCTGTACCGCGAGCGATGCCTGTGCAAGAAGAAGAGCTCCGACTGCGAGAAGCACTCCCACGCCAAGGTCGGGCATTTTTTCGCGGAGCTTTTGCTATATCGGGGGGCGTACTTTATTGGTGAATTCAATTTTTCGGATTAAAAATATAGGGAGTATTTCAAAGCTATTTTTTACTATTTTAGAGCGTAAAAACTTTCCCAATGTTTATTCATACAAATGCAGAAAAATATCGATTGTTGGCAATAAATGACCATTTTGCGATCAAAACTTTGCAGTTTTAAAAAACCGTTACGTTTTTTGTACAAAAAAATATGACTTTGTCCACCAATAATGGTCAATTTTGACGATTTTTAGGTAGTTTTTCGAATTAAATAAAGCTAATTTTTAAAGATTGATGATTAACATATTTAACCGTTAATAAAATTCAATCAAAAATTGCTAAAAATCAAATAAATCTTTGTTAAGTTACTATAAATTTCTGGACTTGGTCTTTTGGTTGAATTTGGGACAATAATATTGTTTTAACGTTCTCACTATTTTTCCATGAATATTTTCCAGTTCATGAAATTAATAAAAGAGCTCTGGCGCTGACTAGCTTTTTCTAATCTCAAATTTCCTTCTTCAGGTCCACCTCGAGTACCTCGGCGAGTGCAAGCAGCTCGAAGAGTGCACCACCGAGCATATGGCCCAGTTCCCCGAGAGGATGTCCGACTGGCTCTTCCAGGTAGATTTTCGTTTTGAGGCTTTCTGAGCATGACTGGAGGGAAACCACCCTTACCTATCAATTCGCAGGTGATGCGTGAGCTGAAGAAGAGGCGCGAGCTGCACAAGCTCGAGTGGGAGGAGCTGCTCCAGGAGGCCGAGGCCGACGACGACAAGAAGCACGTCTACCCGGTCATCTGGAAGTTCTGCGACCTTGACGTCAAGCCCCACGATAAGGTGCGTTTTAAAGTTGGGCTTTCTTTTAGCGATTTTTCGTTTTGTTAACATGGATTGTGAATTATGGAGCGGTTTATTTGCGGTATCTCGGCTCCATTTTGTGCTACGGGGCTGTAAAATACACCAAAATACTCGCCAGGTCAAGACGAACGTTTTGGTATACTTTACATACCTGTAGATGAGCAGGGAGCCTAGATATCGATACGTTTAGTGCAGTCCCGCAGCGCCAGTCCGCATCTTTTGGATCTCGGCTACCATTTTTGCTAAAAAAAACTTGTAAATTATACCAAAATGTTCCCCTTTTTCTGTAGAGTACGAAATCATTAAATTTTAGTCAAAAAATAGCGGAAAACAAAAATATTTTGAGTGAAAAGCCGAAATCCCTGCTGCGCTCTTACCTAAATTATTTTTTTCAGGAAGTCTCCCACCACGAGCTGATCCCGATCACCGCCCCCGTCATCCCGATGGAGTCGTGCATCAAGCCATTCCTCGAGGGATGCGACACCGACAACAACGGCGCCATCTCCATCAAGGAGTGGGGCAAGTGCCTCGGACTCAAGGACGGTGGGTCGAGCTTTTAAATTTACCTCATTGCAAAATCCCGTTGCTATTTTATGTATTCTAACGCCTAGAGCAGGTAAACTAGCAGAAAATCTTTGAAAAAATACGCTTGCAAACAAAAAACAAGCAGTTATCATAATTTTGGAGCACGAGCTCCACGGCTCCTGCTCAATTCGACGCTGATGAGGTCAACCTCATCAAAACCAGAGCTCAAAAATATTATTTTGGGCGTTCCGAGCTGATTTTTGTAATAACCAAAAAAGGCTTATTGCACGATTTTTGTGAAGGTCGACCAGGAGAAGGAGCACGAGCTACACGGCTCTTGCTCAATTCGACGCTGATGAGGTCAAACTCATCAAAATCAGAGCTCAAAAATGCTACCTAAAGCAGAAAAATCGATTTTGTGATTCGGCCCCCAAAAATGGTTTACCGCACAATTTTGGACATATTGTGAGCCAGGTGGCCCGCGAGTGGGTAGCCTGAATTTTGAAAATGGTGGATTTTCGACCGGTAGTAAAAAAGAAAAAAGAATATTTAAGGAAATAAATTACGTAAAGCACAATGATACAGAAAAACCTTGAATTTTTTCAGGTGAGATCCAGGAGCGTTGCTAAACCCTTCCACCATCAACATCATCTCATTTTTCATCGCACTTTCAACACTGCCACCCAATAACCCCCAACAATTCAGTAGTGCCATACCTCCACCTTCTTGCCAACCACCTTGTGTCTTATTTATCTGTGCCTTCTTCGCTTTGAAATCTCCTCCTCTTCTTCTTCTTCTTGGTGCCACTTATTTATAAATAGTTAGAAAACACAATTAGTGTATGAAATACACGCAAAAATAGATCCAAACGAACAGAAAAGCTCAGAAATGCAGAAAACTAGGCGCTTTCGCATTACCGGGGGGGGGGGGATAATAAATTTTTTCGCACAAGTTTAAAAAATCGTCGTTAGCATAATAGCAGATATTTTAATACTGTTCGTATTAAAAATTGTATATCTTTTAACGGCAACAAATACCTCGAAAGCTCAAAAAAATTTTAATTTTGAAATTTGGTCGAAAACTCGATATTTTCTTGATTTTTAAAATGAAAATCTCTATATTCTGCGTTTTTTGTTCGTAAAAATAATTTTGAAACACTTATTAAAAATAAAGAAAAATCCGACCCCCCCCCCCCCGATAATGCAAAAGAACTGAAAATCGTTATAATAAGCATGATATGGCCAAATTTGCATAACAAAATTTACAGCTATTAGCATGGGTTATTCCATACAAATTCCACCACACCGCAAATTCCTCAAAGTTTACCAACATTTCCTTTTCTAGAGAGTGGGTTTCCCTCCATTTATTTTACCGCTTTTTCGACGTTCCAGCGGCGTCGATATTTTGAACTGTTCTTCGAGGGATTATGGCAGCTTATAACCCGGACCCGATCCTCGGCAAGTTGATGACCATCGGCAAGGCCGACACCGGGCTCAGCAAGATCGTCAGCGAGCAGGTACGACGCTGTACTCCTTCCCTACGACAGCATTTTAGGAAATTGTCGACCTGTGCGTGGCCTCGTACAACTTGTTCATGTCGCAGCCGGTTTGCCTCGAGATCTCGGCCCCGGTGACGATCGCCGGTACGTCATCAAGCTGTTCAAAGGCGGTGATGCCGTTTCGCCTGTATCTCGGCTTCCCGTTGTCATACAGGGGTGTAAAGTATCAACTATAATAAAAAAGTAGTGGTGTCTGTCTGTCTGTCCGTCTGAAGCCGAATTCAACTCGAAGGGGAAAGGAGCTAGAGCTTAGCTCTCTTCGGATTCGGATAGAGCGTGGTCAGAAACCCCCAAATTGATAAAAAAATTACGAAAAACTTTTAGTTTAAATTATTAAAATTAACTTTGAAAGTGGCGCCTTAATAAAACGAGTGGGGGCCCTCTCCCCGGGAGGCCACGCCCCCCTTTCCCTTCGCCCCTCTTCCCCAGGCCCCTTCACGCGCCCAGGTAGCTTTTTAAGTTACTTTAATACTTTTTAATACTTTTTTAAATATGTTAATTAATTATTTAAATTAGTTAAAGTATCTAAAGCCATCGGGAAGGTATTTAGGTAGTTTTTGAAGGGGATTTCAGCCATGGGGGGTATCTGAAGCCATCAGAAAGGTATTTAGGTAGTTTTTGAAGGGGATTTCAGCCATGGGGGTATCTGAAGCCATCAGAAAGGTATTTAGGTAGTTTTTGAAGGGATTTCAGCCATGGGGGTATCTGAAGCCATCAGAAAGGTATTTAGGTAGTTTTTGAAGGGGATTTCAGCCATGGGGGGTATCTGAAGCCATCAGAAAGGTATTTAGGTAGTTTTTGAAGGGGATTTCAGCCATGGGGGGTATCTGAAGCCATCAGAAAGGTATTTAGGTAGTTTTTGAAGGGGATTTCAGCCATGGGGGGTATCTGAAGCCATCAGAAAGGTATTTAGGTAGTTTTTGAAGGGGATTTCAGCCATGGGGGGTATCTGAAGCCATCAGGAAGGTATTTAGGTAGTTTTTGAAGGGCATTTCAGCCATGGGGGTTATCTGAAGCCATCAGGAAGTTATTTTGGTCGTTTTTGAAGGGATTTCGGCTAGGGGGAGGTACCTGAGGCCATCAGGAAGGTATCGAAGTAGTTTTTTAAGGGGGTTTCGGCTATGGGGGGGTATCTGAACCCCTCAGGAAGGTATCGAAGTAGTGTTTGAAAGGGATTTCGGCTATGAGGGTTTTCTGAAACCATCAGTATATGGATTGATGAAAGTAGCAAGGGATGTGGTGGTGTCGAATATGAAGTGTAGCCCGAAGGCCAGTCGATTACAGTCGCGAAGCGGCTGTAATCGGCTGGTATCAAAATACTCGCCAGACCGAGACGAACATTTTGGTATACTTTACAGACCTGTAGATGAACATGGAGTCGAGATACAACGCTTAGAAGATGGGGAGGGGTAAAGTGCAAGCTTACCCAACCCAATGAATCAAACTTCTCCAGGCGACGTCCACGGGCAGTACGGCGACCTGATGCGCATGTTCAACCTGGTCGGCTTCCCGCCCAAGGTCTCCTGGCTGTTCCTCGGCGACTACATCGACCGGGGCAAGCAGAGCCTGGAGACCATCTGCCTGTTGTTCGCCATCAAGGTACTTGCCCGGGTCGTCGTTCAACCCCTTGTAGATCAAATACCCGGACAACTTCTTCCTGCTGCGCGGCAACCACGAGACGGCCCTCGTCAACCGCATCTACGGCTTCTACGAGGAGATTGTGAAGCGCTACGGTACCGCGCGGCTCTTCAATGTCTTTCAGGTAGGATTGCTGAGATTTGAGCAACTTCCTGTGGCAGGACGTCTTCAACGTGATGCCGCTGACGGCGGTGGTATCGGAACGTATCCTGTGTATGCACGGGGGTCTCTCCCAGGATCTGATGCAGGCTTCATCCCTGGCCGTCCTCCGCGACATCACCCGCCCACTTCCGGTACGTTTTTAGGCTTGGGGCAGTTTACCGCCCCGCCCCCACCCACCGTATCTCGGCTCCCTGTTCATCTACAGGTGTGTAAAGTATACCAAAATGTTCGTCTCGCTCTGGAGAGTATTTTGGTATACTTTACCCACCTGTAGATGAACAGAGAGCCGAGATACGGAGAGTTGGGTCGGCTGGGGGGTAAACTGCACTTTAACCTAAATTCAATTTTTATCTTTGTTAGGACAGTTTATTTGTTTTTTACATATTTTTCGCTGCAGGACCCGCCAAACCCGTCGCTTCCGCTTGATCTGCTGTGGGCCGACCCCGACATTGCGGTCACCGGCTTCAAGTACAGGTACGCCACGAAGTCGAGAAACGGCCTTTCAACCCTGGTTGCCACAAAATAGCTTATGTTAGCATTCGCGGCGTGTCGTGCACGTTCGGCACCAACGTCATCGACCAGGTGCTGAAGAAGCACAACCTCGACCTGATCGTCCGCGCCCACCAGGTCGTCCAGGACGGCTACGAGTTCTTCCACAACCGCAAGCTGGTCAGTTACCGCGGGAATATGATCATCGATCTGACCTTCGCAGGTGACCATCTTTTCGGCCCCGCACTACTGCGGCCAGTTCGACAACGCGGCCGCGGTGATGCAGGTGAACAAGGAGCTGCGCTGCTCCTTCAAGGTGGGCGTTCTGATTCTTGTATCTCGGATCCCCGGTGTGCTACAGGGCTGGAAAGTATACCAAAATGTTCGCCCAGTTCTGTAGATTAAGGATACATTACGTTTTCGTCGAAAAATACCGGGTAAGAGTTTACTTTACCCCCCCCACAGCCGAAGTGTCTCAAAGTTATCGGTATTTTCGCTTATTTTGTCGGGATTTTTGCAACGCCATCCGATAGAGCGTCGAAAAATATACTAAAAGTTTTAATTTGAGCCTACAATAATGTAAAATAAAAAAGTTATAGCCAAAAAATAAAAAGGTAAGAGTTTACTTTACCCCCCACACCGGAAGGGTCTCAAAGTTGTCGGTATTTTCGCTTATTTTGTCGGAATTTCTGCAACGCCATTCGATAGAGCGTCGAAAAATATAATAAGAGTTTTAATTTGAGTCTACAATAATCCTACTATATATAAATAAATAGTTCCTGTGTGTGTGTGTGTGTGTGTGTGTGCATTTGCATGCAACTTCCGTCACCGTGTCCGGAGGATATCTCTAGAGGGGAAGGGTTTTAGGCTACGTATGATACGTCATTAAGTGCGTAATGGCCCCGAGATGACTGCACGTATATCAGATTTTGCAAATTACGCTATTTTCGTCATTAAAATTGAGTTTTTGTTGAAAAATCCGCCAGCCTTCTTTGTTAGGAAAAAATTAGCATCGGCCGGAAGTGGCGGCAACCTATATATAACGCGAGAGAGTGGAATTTTTCATTTTTCTCTAGGAAGTCAAGAGATGTATGCAGAATGAAGAGGATGATGGGGTTAGACGGGGCCAGGGTTGAAAAGTCGCGACGCGACTTTTCAACCCTGGTGTAAAATAAAAAAGTTATAGCCAAAAAAATAAAAAGGTAAGAGTTTACTTTACCCCCTTCCCCCCCCACACCGGAAGGGTCTCAAAGTTGTCGGTATTTTCGCTTATTTTGTCGGAATTTCTGCAACGCCATTCGATAGAGCGTCGAAAAATATAATAAGAGTTTTAATTTGAGCCTACAATAATGTAAAATAAAAAAGTTATAGCCAAAAACTTCCGGCTGGGGGGTAAAGTAAACCGTAGCCAATAAAAATAATCTAGGTAAAAAGGTAAAAAAAAATTTCGCCGCAATTTGCTAATTTTTTCCAGATTCTCCGCCCCAAATTCCCGAACGCACAGAAGAAGACGGCCGGCGCGACCGACCCGAAAGACATCACCTGCTACAAGCCAGTCACCTAAAAGGGCAAAGCTGACGAAGGAATACCCCGGATCAGAATCGCCATGAATAAACGTCTTTATTTACAAACACTGGGACTTTGGCAGAGCATTGGGTGGAATAAATGAACGACTGGGGTGAAGGCACGGTCATGGAGGAAATTATAGAGGTTTTCAAGGGCTCCAAGGCAGAGTTAATACATTGTTATTCAAAGTTATTGAGGGTATATTGCACCCGGCACGGAAAGACATACAACAATAATACCTGGGAATTCGAGAAATTTACAAAGATACGCGGCGCCAACTTCAAGGTGGACACGGCTGATGGCTGGTCCCGTCGCGCACCGTCTCCAGCCACTCGCGTATGCACTCGCCGCACTAATGAAAGGCTGCATTGGGTTGGGTGCTTTTTTGGACTCACGTGGCTGGCGTCAGACGGTGGCTCGGCGTGCCCACACGAGGCCCACACACGAATTTTCGGCATTTTTGGCGAAACTCGATCGCCGGGGATCTAAAAATGAACTCGGGTGTTTACAACGTTATTTTCATGGTATAAAACTATCAAAAAACGTTCAAAAATGTAAAAATGCTCAATTTTTGGAACCAAAACGCCATATTGTTGGGCGAAAATTAGCGTTTTTCGTTTTTTCTCCTTAAAAATTTGTACCGGTTTTACGCGTAGGAATAGTTAAAAACAATAGAAACTTTTTCCCTATTCATATTAGAAAAAGGACCTGATCGGAAGTTCGCAAGATCCATATTTTTGTTATTTTTTGATAGAAATGCTAGTTTTTCCGTTTAGAAATAGCAAACTAATTGATTTAAAAAGCTCTAGAATCTTTGAAAAGTTTCTTTCCCCCTTTCCGATTTGGCGAAAAATCTATTTTAGTATCCAAAACACCTAAACCCACCAAAATCCGATTCGGCGACACCGATCCCGGCGCCCATTTTGCCAACATTGACGCCTTTTCGGGCCCAGATAAACCGGCTTGGGTCTCTGGACAATCCCAGACTTCTGGCCAGACTTGTCTGAAAATGTCCGATTTTTCCAAGTTTCTCATATCCCTACCGTATCCGCTTCACCAACGCATCATCGACGGGTTGGGGCAGGGTGAGCAGCGCCGTTTTGAGCAGCGATCGAGACGGACCATCACCGCCGAGCAGCCCTTCCCAAATCAGCCGCGTCAGGGTGAGGACGTCGGTGTCTTTCTGAAGGAAAAATGTGTGCGATGTTTTTGCCAAACCTTTGCCCCAGGCCCACGCTCGTCGAGGACCAGCCGAAGCGTGGCTATGGAGCGCTCGAGCTGTCCACTCATGTAGTGCACGAAGGCAGCTGGTATGGAGGGTAGAGAGGGGTCTAAACAGGTTTTTTTATAGAAACACAACACGTTACGTTATTAACAACGTCTTAAGTAGGTCTTTGCAACTTACACGCTCGTTTGATAGAAGAACTGGTAGCTTCCAGCAGCTGCACTGGGCTTGAGCGAATTCGGTCCAGAACCTCGGCGGGCGTCAGCAGCTCAGCGATGGCTTCTAAACAGAAATAAACTCGAATGTTTGCATAACATAATTTTTTTATCTTACCTCTAGCGACGGGCAATTCAATTGTGATATTCGGCACATTCTGTGGCCGCGCGACGTAGGCGCTTTCGTCAGGAAGTTGCACGCACCTACGCAAAATTAGATTTACAGAAATACTTCGAAAAAAAAAACTACTCATCCGCTCACTATTTATTTTAGGTCCTACCTCTTCACGTCGCCCTTCGATTTGAAGGTGAACTTTCGCGGAGTGGTTGGCGGCTTGTCGCTGACAATCTAGAAAGAAAACTATTTTTTTTTCACTTTCCGCGCCCTCACCCCGCATTGCCCAAAATCGTTGCGGCCCCAGGTGTACAGCTTGCCGTCGGTGGTGACCGCCATCGTGTAGTGGCCGCCTGGGAACTGGGCTTAAGGATTAGAATACTGTCGAACCACAAAACACCGACGCCCATCGAAGATTTGGGGGGCCGGCCTCGAGGAGATGTGGCTCATGCTTCTCCACCTTCGAGCCGTGCCCAAGCTGGTGGTCGAGCGCCTAAATATGGGTGGATTTCGGGTACTGGGTTATTATCGGGGGTACCTCACTTTGGTCTATCGCCCATTGGGCCGGAATAATGAAATACACAGGATTTATATAGGTTTTTACGCGGGGTTTAGATCTAGAAAGTTAGGACAAACCATAAAAATCTTCGAAATTGTTAATTTCCGCTTAAAAATTTCACTCTTAAAATTTTTATGATTTTTAATTCATCAAAACCTGGTATAAATACTATAAAATACACCATCAACTGCTAAATTGTAACTTGTCCAACCTTCCCCCACGTAAAAATACGGCCACTTTTCGTCAATAGCGCTGCGTGGGAGAGGCCCGTCGCGAGAGACACAATCGGCTCGCCGACGCTGTGATTGACCTGAAAAAAAACGTTTAGTAAAGCAAATGTTCCGTCTAGAAAATTTGCGTATACTAAATCCAAACTCGACCCACCCTCGACACCCCAAAATAATCCTTCGGGACGTCGACGTGCTCGGGCGGGACACGCTTTGCCTCGCCGGCCTTTGCTTGGGCGTTGCGCAGTCGTTTCAGCACAAACATTTTCATCTGCAATTGTATTCAAATTCATAACTAGGAAACCGTATTTCTTCATTCCTTTCAGCTTGCTTTTTTTGGTTTAATTAATTAAAGACGTTTTCTTCCCGTCTTTTGCACGTCAGATGCGAAAAATCTTCACTTACCTTCAAATCGTGCGGATTTCTGCCCCACTCGTACAGTTCGTTGGTGTCCGTAAGCGCAACTGTATGGTAGAAATGCGTGGCGATGGCGACAACCCGACGAGGCTGCTCTTTTTGGCCCGGTACTAATGCTAGCTTCTGAAAGTTCATTTTTCATGAATCCGGTTTTCCATTTTCAATTACCTGAAAGCTAAACCGTTTCCTGATTTCTCGCGGGATGCCTAGTTGGCCATACGTTCCACCACCGGTCACGTAAATTGCCCCAGAGCGGCCGAGCAGCACCGTATGGACACGGCCGCATTCGATCTGTTGCATTGGCTCGCTGAAGAGCTTTGGATCTAAAATGTCTAAAAAACATACGGAAGATCCGGGACTCGTGTCGGCACATACGCATCCTCTCCGCCTCGCCTTCTCCCAAGCCCAAGTTGTCCGTACATGCCCCAACCTGTAAGGGCGGAGCTTGGAATTCGTGGAACCTCAACCTACCCCAGGTATAAACTGAGCCATCCGCTCGGATAAGGCCCGAGTGAAATTGACCGGACGAGATGGCAATAATATCTGACCAGTCGCCGACAATTTCCTGAAAAGCTGCTTTGAAACGTTATTTTTGTACTTTCCACTGCCTTTCTATTACTTTTACGCTCTCAATTATACTTATAATCTTTGTTTAGCATTATTTTTGTAAAAAAAACACACAAAAATCTAGATTTTTGCAAATCGTTGCCGATTTTCGACCAAAAGTTCAACTAAAATTATTTTTAAATATTTACCGTCTTCCTCTTTCCATTCCTAACTTACTCGTGGCTGCTCTGATCCCACATCGTCTCCTGTACCACACTGCCCGTATTTATTATACCCGAAAGCGTAGACCTTCCGTTCAGTCGACAAAATTATACAGTGCTCGGCGCCGCAGTTCACTAAAAAAAGTACATGTTATTGTCCGAAATCATACCCGAATACGGTTTCCCCTCATCCAGCTGAATGTGCCGATACGGAAGCGGCGGCGGAGATTTTTGGCGCTCTTCCCGTTTGCTGTCGTCGGCTGGCCGTTTTAGGGTACCTAAAGCTGTCGATAATCCGGAAATTTGATGAGTTTTAGTCAGTTCCATCTTGACAAACCATTGGTCTCCAAAGTGCTGGCCCGGTGACTCGTCTGCATATTGCCGGAAACGCTCATCCTGCCGCCCTCATCGACAAAAATGCTCCAGTTGGAGCTGCCGCTGCACGGCCGTGGCGTGCATTTTGGCAAGTGCTAAAATCCGAGTTTATGATATCCAGGTAAATCCCAGAACCATATTTAAAAAACCTACCGCTCCAATGCCTCTCGGGGAGAGCAGATAGATGGCCGACATGAAGAAAAGTAGCTGGCCTTGTTCCCTGAACCAAATCATCGCCAACTGATTTCACTTACCCGCTCATCTGCTGTGACAGCCGGATGCAGTCCATGTGCCGAGGAGGCGATTTTGCACATATAGCCAGATATATCAATGCCGAATTGAAGGCCTTCTTCTCCAAGGACAGCCAATTGACCGAGAGCAGAAAGTCAACGATCTGAAAATGTCGTAGTTTCATCTCGGAAAACATGTCCCCTACCTTCGCCATCTCATCTTGCGATAATTCCCCCATACGGCTGAACGTGTGCTGCGTGATAAACGTAATATACTCTTTCTGCGACGATTCCTTCCTAATAAGACGATGAGCTACTTTTAAAAAATCCTACCTTGAAGCTAATATAGCTGCGCTGTGCCATAAGGAGTTTTTGAGTAGCGGTTGAATGGGCGAATCGATATCAGTATTAGTTAGTAGCCACGAACTAGAGAAAATTCTTGAAATTTTGCCTGCTCCTCACCCCAGCTCCATATCCGCATAGCCGGCATCTTTTTGCACAGTCTTCTCATAGCGCCGCAAAAATGTCTCAAACCCGGGACGCCGAGGCTCGGAAGGGCCTAAACTTTGTGTACATTTTCTATGACGCTCAGAAAACCTGGCTGGGCATTTGAGGCGCTGTGGAGAGGGTGGTTCTCCATTCATTCTGTGACAAAGCGGGCGCTGGTCCGATGCCTAAATCATTTTATTTTATCGTTCGAAATCTCGTCTATGTGTGAGAACGATTGGAAGGATCATGCGCAAAAGGTTCAGCAAAAAAATCGACGACAAATCGGAAATGAGCTGGGTGGGAGCAAAAACCGGAAACAGAAAGAAGGGATCGCCTAACTAAAAAAAAGACTAGACAGGCTACCTCGAAAAGAAGACCAAAAAACAACGACCAAGGAAAATATATTCTAGGAAGCTGACTCGATGGGGCTGAGGTCATCGCTTGAAAAAGTCGCGTTCGACCCGCGTCGCAAAGTCCAGCAAATTGTTGTACTTCTTCAGGGAGTTCTGCAAATCGTGACAGGGCAACGCGGTCGTCATAATTGTGTAGAGGTGGCCAAATAGCAGAGCATCGGCTTCTGTGGGTTGCTCGCCCATCAGATAATCGTTTGTGCCGAGTTGTAGCGAGAGGGAGCGGAAAGCCTTGTCGGCAAGCTCGAGCACTTCATCCAGGGTCTTCGTGCCCCAATCGTGGTCGTTGAGCTGGGAAAACATATCACGGCGCCTCAATCGTGGCAGCAACACTGAAAAAGGCATATCAATGATATCAAGACAACTTGGTTCTGGTTGTAATCAATTTTCAGACAGGTAAATACTAACTCATTTTTTTTAATTTGTCGAAAATTCGAATCACGAGATTAATTTTGTCGAAACTTCATTTGGTCTATTCCATTTTGTCGAAATTACAATAATCGCGTCAGCTTTTTTCGGCCACTAAACAGGTTGGTATCATGCATGAATACCAACTTTTTGAAATTTCGACAACATGAAAACCCGGAATTCTAATTTTCGAAGACTTTGATAGCAAATCGAAAATACCAACCTGTTAGCGGCCAGTGGAATACCGAAGCTATCCGAGGGGCCGTCGTTCTCCAAAACGTATCATCATGTCGCCATACGATCCACATTTCGATGTTGCGCAAAAGGAGGTCTATCACCGACATATGAGCCATCATCTCTGCCGACTGGGTCTCCGTCAGGTGGCCCGATAGGTTCACCCCTTTCTGCGCGACAAATCCCACAATTCCCGCGAATTCAGCAATCAGCGTCTCGTTCAGCTTGAGAAATGGGACCTTGCCGGTTGGCGAGATGAAATCGGCATTGGGTCGTTGGCGGAGTTGATAGGGCAACCCGGCCATTCGAAGGAACGTCTGCGCGGCTAAACAGTCGGCGCACTCGTAAAGTAAAGCCTGCTCGCTGATGAACGGCGTGAAGAGGTACGCATCGGTCCATTCCGTGTCCGCATTCATGGCCAGGGAAGAAACGACAAGGTCGCTGATGAAATGGCGGCTCGGCGCTGCATTCTGGGCGGACGCCATCTGCCTGGAAAACAAACATTATTGACCATAGAGGGCAGTTATCTAGACAAATTAGAGAAGAGAAATTAAATTAAAGAAATTCAGATTATCACAATGGCTAGGACCAAGTTAGACGCATTTATTTCAACAAGAGACATCCTTGGACGGCAATTTTCCACGGCAGTTTTTCGCTCCACATAAACAATCCTTCGTTGAGAAGCCGCTTTTCGCTGACCAGCCGTAGTCAAACGAGAGTTGTTCGCCCTTCATTATATCCCTGCTTGCAAATAACGCGGCGCTCGGCGAGAGACAGCCCCTTCTGACGATCACAACCTTCAAATTCGGGTCACAGCTGTGATTGATGAAGCGCGCTATATTTCCAAGCTTTCGTGGATCAATGAAGGTCAGGGATTCTTTTCCCTGGATCACTTCCAGGACCGTGAAAATATAGTGATGTTCAGCACCCTTGTGTTGTCGCTCGCGGTTTCTCGCCTCCTTTTCGCCAATCACTTCCCCGATGTACTCAATAACAAAGGAGTTAGCCGGAATTGTTTCTTCGGCAATCACCCCGAGATCCGCCACATTCTCAGTCAGGCGGATCAAGCCCGGCTTCGAGCCGTTGCCGACGACACGGTTCGGGCAACGTCCGCTCTTCACACATTCGCACCAGTTCCCGCATTCGATTAGAGCGCCCTCGTGGAGAAGACTCCCGCTTTCGGTGTAATTGTCGAGACCGGAGCCGCTTGCAACACACTCGCATCCGTTTGCCAGCGTACAGTCCCCCTCCGCACAGTCACAGACCACTAAGTCATCGACCAGCAGATGCTCGGAGTAGTCGGGACCGCAGACGTTTGACACAATCTTTTCGTATTCATTTGTTCGCTCGGTAATCGTGGCCTCGTTTTTCCGCATTTTCTGAAAAGCCTCAAATTAATACCAGCATGCTCATGGTCCAAAAAAACGTACTGAGCTTATCTATAAAGCTAAATTACTAATAGTGGCCTCTAAAAACGAAGATTAGGTTGATTGGGGAATTGTAAACAACATCTAAACAAGTATGCAAGACGGCTAGCTGAGAGGCCGAGCCAGACACAATGTTGACACGGCCCCAGTAGTCGGCTGGAACCCGTTCAAATGACCTTCTGGCGCAGATGGTCGCGGACTAACAAACTTTTTACAATCTTAGCCGGGGCGTAGAAACATCGAATGCTTCTGAAACGGCCGATTCAGGAACTGGTCGATCATGCGGCGCTTGATCGATTTCTGGCAAGTTTACTGGTTAAAAGTTTACGGGGATTTAGATCAAACGTTTGGCCGAGCTGAAAAATCCCAGGAAACCGGTTGAGACAATCAACTATGCGCGAGAAGCCGGGTTTTTGATGTCAGGAATCAGCGGAACATTGATCCGAAGGACGTCGCTGGTCGGTCTTGCCAACAGCTCTAGAAAGGCAGCTGGCTCATTTATCGTTAACCATTCAGGACGATCGGTTTCACATTGAAGAACAAACACTGGTGGAACACCCGCGTCTGATCCCGTTACTTGGTCTTTTGCCCGTCGCTGATTGGTAGTGGACAAAAAAAACGCGGGGAATTTCTTTTCCAGGCTCTCTGAAGCTCTGACGTCCATTGAGCTGCAAATCGAGGAAAACGAAGAAGCTGACGGGAGCCAGTCTTTCCATTCGCTATCCTTGAAAGCTACGCAAAATTTGTTGTACGACTTTAGGTGAGATAGGAAAAATCGATCCAATATTTTTGCAGGGCCTTTTCCACCAATCAGCTAGCCTCACATGTGGAGGACTTTGGCCCCGCAGTCGCCAGGGTAGTATGAACCTGGATTTTATAGATTTACGGTCCATTCAGATACTACCCAGGGCCATGTCCCTAACTATGCTAGTAAATTGTGTTCTTTTCAACGAGGACTCACGGCAGAGCACGAGCACTGACGCCCGATCGGTAAAAAGCAATCACATTCCAAAAGCTTTTAGCTCTGGGAAATCCTCACGGAGCTGATCACTGCCTACCCCAGAGCGTTCTCTCTGTCAGAGCTGGCGAATAATCCCTTCTCCTACACGCCGCCACCCTCAATCTTTTTATCCGATTCGGGAGAACCCATTAGGAATTGCCGTAAGTTCCGACGTATTGTCATACAAAGCCCCACAGACACCGCCTGCTAGTCGCGAAAGCACGAAATCGCCAGATTCTGGGTACAATTCCGCTCGATCAGAAGTAGGTTATATTTCTTCAAAAATAAATTAATAATTAGTGCATCCAACCTACGAACCCCGATACTGAATCCTGGGTTCAACGGTACGAAGCTTGGACGCAGCCAACATCTTGCTTCGAGCAGGTGTGGGAGATCCTCGTCCAACAATTGCTACGGTAGGCTGGATGTAAGGGGATCTAAAATTCGTTCAGGCAACTGGTTCCATGGCTAAGCAGCGGAACTGTTGCCGGCGTGACTGGTCTTTTTGAAAAACTGCAAGATAATGAAGCGGCGACTATTGGTATGTGGAAAGCATTAAAATAACTCCCCCTAGGCGAGCTAATCCGGGCTGCTCCGATCCGCTTTTCCACCGGTGTCGCCAACATATTAGGCACTGATCTTGAAGAAAAGATCATCGACGAGGTGGGCGCGGCTCGGAAAATTGCACAAATTGACGTACAGGGTTACTTCCAAATGATCCTGGAGCGCCTGAAATGCACAAAGCGCCTCCCGCGTTCCTACAAATCAGTTCTCGAGCGGGATGAGGTTGACACTCGTCCTAAAATTTACCACTAATTTAGTTAGCCGATGGGGACTTCGAAAATTTCTCTCCAGATGACTTCGATGGTGCTTCTAATGAGGCGCCCATCATTGAGATTTCCCAGATCAGTCTACAGCACGCGGTATCAAAGATGCTGAGGTCAGTTCGTCACCAAATTAGGCGACCCAAAAAAATATTTAGTAAAGCGGCTCAATACCCCTGCACCCCAGATCTCGTGCGTGTCATCAGGGAAGACACCCTAGCTTTTCTGAAATTCATCAAGCACGACTTTCTTCTCAGTGATGAACGGGCACTTGTCGAAAGCTATGTGTAAGCGGGCGTATCTCAGAAACAACTGGATTACGTTTCAGATACAGCGACGGGACCCATGATGTCCTAAAGCGAAGCCTCTTCCGCATCAACAAAAGAAATGATCGTTTCAAGGTTGAAATCGCGAGCGATATTCACTGTAAGCCAAGAACACGGCGAACCAAAAAAATTCTAGGTCTGGTCCCTGTTGTCCCGGAACCGCTATCACTAATATTCGCGAAGTCTCATACACAAACATATGGCTTTGTGCAGAAACTATTCGTGATGATGTACATTGCACAATCAGAGCTGGAGCAAGTGGGCCAAAAGTTTGGATCCGCTATAAATTTTTAGATCTTTATCTGCACTTCGGTCTTTCAACTGAAATCGGTACATAGACTTTACGCAGCCACCATGCTGAATTTCGTCATTTGCCTGCGCTGCGCCTTCGTGTGTGATGTTTCGCGCATCTTCGATCAATTCGGTAACAAAGACAGCGCGCATTAACCCTTTCAGTATCAACATTGAAACATGCCGACGCCACCAATTTGGCATTACGCACAATGTACACGGACCATAAAAGGATGCTACAGAAGTTAAAACACCGACTGTTACAAACGAGCTCCCATAAGCCAGCATTACACGTTTGTCTACGTTCATAATATACAAACCCGGTACAGGAAATGAACCGCATACTCCGGGCTTGCGCCGCATTTACGGCATCCCTACGAGAAGCAAACGAAAATAGTGCCACGCTGTGCTGGCAAAACTTTCTACAGGCTGCCCAGCTCTTCTGCCAAGGTGCGCTAGAAAATCCTACTTTAACAAAGTTATTTCAGTGCTTGAAGAAATCAAGGGCGGTGATGGGTGGGAACAACAGCTACTCGATATTGTCGACCTGACTAATCAATATCGATAACCCCGCTATCTTCTAACGCTAACGGGTTTAAAACCACAAATATCGACTTATAATGTGCCTTGACCCCTTTTGTGCTTTCAATGCGAAATAAAGACTGTGTATTCGAATAACCAAAAAGTGAGAAATGGACACCGATAAGAAGGGTTACAGAAAGTGCACATAAGTGTTACCGGGGCTGAGGCAGGGTGGGAAGTTGGTAATTAAAACGTGGCGAAGACGAATCAGTTCTTGGGCGGGGCCTCGTGGCGCTTCTGCTCGCCGTTCATCGCGTTCTGGACGAACTTGCGGGTGTCGTCGGGGTTGGTGTGCTTGTGGCCAGCGCGCTCGTTCTTCGTCCGCTTCTCGCCCTTGACCTCGTGCACATCCGGTCCACCGTCCTGCTCGAATTCGGCGGCCAGCTGCTCGGCGCTTGACATTGCTTGCGGTTGACTTGCTGGAAAAATTGATATTTTGATGGGCTTAGGAAAGTAGGCACTATTCACGTTGGAGAGGGCCTAAGAATAGAATAGTGATAAAGAGCTATAGTGGCTTAATGCCTACCGTCAAGTCTCATAGCCTAAAAGCCTCAAATTCTAGACAAACAAGGAGCACAAAAAAGCCCAGAAAACTTGTGCTGATGGGGCCGTTCCGCTTAGTTTTAGCGTAGTGTTCTTCGGATTAGATAAACATTCCATCGGGTATTCCCGGTGCTAGTCTTGGCTTAGTGCCTCCTCCGACTCGAATAGTACCGAAAAGTGACAAGTGAGAGCACGAAAACGGATAGGGTTAGGAAAATGCAGAATTTAGCGGATAGAAAGCTTGAGGCAACGTTTCGCACGGGCGGATGCCCATCGATACGACAAATCGAAAAACAGCGTGGCGCTATTTGTGGGGACGGCGAGCGCTATCGAATGCGGACTGCCAACAAGCGATATTTCTCTCGTGATGCGGGCAGGCTCTCTCGGGAAACAGTAATGTCTCGCGGTCGGCCATTTTGAATGGCAGCCGGCCCGCGATGGGAGTACACGATGCGCCAACGTCCGGCGTATCATGTGCGCGCTAGCCCACCGCTTTTTTTTTAGTTTCGTGAGCGGCGGCCCTTTGGAAGAAGTTATTTAGCGTTTTTTACTCTTTTCTAGCTTGACTTTTTGAAATTTGTCGATCTTGAGTTTATTCGGATGGTTTAAAAGTACTCATGGGACCCTTTGAGACCCTGCGTATAGAGCCCGTCTTACGGCAATCATGAAAGGTTATATTTACGGGCTCGGGGCCCGTCAACAGTTTCGTAAAACCGGGCTCGGGTCGACACTTTCGTAAACCCCTGCAGGGCTGCCCTCGATTTTATCAAGCCAAAAATTTAAAGAGCTGGTCATTTCCAAGTGGTAGGACCCACCGATGGTGGATGGGGGTGTAATTTACAATTTGGCGTAGATACCCACCTTTTGCCCGCTTTCAACTTCCTATGGGCTTTACTGACATTCTCAAATATTTCCACTTTACGCTGCAATTCAGGCAAGATGTCCTCTGACGAAAGCGGCGATGACCGCCCACTTCGGGATGAAGAGGATGACGCCGACATCACGAAGAGCGACGATGAGCAACCGGCCATTGCTTCGGATGATGACGACGAGCCCGCCGAGCGCAGCTCCAGCAAGAAGAACCGGAAGAGAAAGGTGCTTTTTTTTATCCCGCACGCACTTTTCCATACACTTCACCGTTTACAAAAAAATGCAAGAAATTCAGGTGGTGTCCGACGACGAAGAGGACGATGAAGAGGAGGAAGATGACGATGACGATGACGAAGATTCAGATGGCTCGTCGCGCCGGAAGAAACACAAGAAAGGGGTATTGCTATTTATTGTTTCCCAAAGCTCCTTTTTTAGAAAAAGAAGCGTCGTCCCCTTGGTGCCGATTTCATCTTGCACGATGTTGATGTCGACGACGATGATGTGGAGGAGGATGATTTGAGTGACGATGAGATTGGCGCTTTGGACAGAACGGTATTTTTGCTTCGTCGACTTATAGGCTGTTTTAGGAGCGCGAGGAAGCTGAGAAGACGATGCGCGAGCTCGACGCCGCTCGTCGAAAGGAGCACGACAGGCGAAACATGTTCAAGTAAGCAGCTAAGAATAGCTGCTCTAAAATTGATTAGGGACATGTCAGCCGAAGAGATCGCCAAGTACTATGAGGAACGTTATGCGGATGAGAGCCGTGCTGCGCCGGTTGACTATGACGATGATGCGGGATACTGTAGGCATTTTCACGGTCACTATCTTCTTATGTTTTCCAGCTGACGACATCACACAAACCGGCTTGCTCCCCTCGACGAAAGATCCCAACTTGTGGATTGTCAAGTGCCGAATGGGTGAGGAAAAGCTCGTCTGCATGCAGCTGATGAGGAAGGCAATCGCATACGAGACAACTGAGAATGTATGCTTCTGTTTTAATGTCACATTACTTCTTGATTTAGCCTCTTCAAATCAAATCCGTCATCTACAAAGAGGGCTTGAAAGGCATGCTCTACGTGGAAGCTTTCAAACAGGCCCACGTTACGCAAGCTGTCGAAGGAATCGGATCGTTGAACCAATTCAATGTTGTGGTATGCATTGATCCTCGCGACTATGCTATTTTCAACTTCAGATGGTGCCTATCAAAGAAATGGTCGATTCTCTGCGCGTCGTCAAGAATATTCCTCAGCTGAAACCCGGTACCTATGTCCGTCTGAAGCGAACGCAATACAAGGATGACTTGGCACAGGTATACTTGCTCAGCGAGTTCGGGACCAACATTTTTAGGTCGACTGGGTGGACGTCTCGCAAAACAAAGTCAACCTCAAGCTGCTTCCTCGTATCGATTATACCAAAATGCGAGGGGCACTACGCACGGTATTTGTTTTTCGTCGTCTGTGGCATTGCGTTTAGGATGCCGATCGAGCTAAAAAAGGTCTACGACGGCCTGGACCACAGCCATTTAATCTCGAAAAGATCAAGTTGGTTTTGAGTTTTGTTGGAAAACCATCTTTAGGGAGATTGGAGGCGAAGTGACAAATGACGGCGACTTCATTATCTTCGAGGGCCAACATTATCGACGCGGATTCCTCTACAAATCTTTCCCGCTATACGCAATCGTAAGCATCGTTTAAATTTCCTATGTACTTGTTTGCAGATCGACGAAGGCGTGAAGCCAACCATTGCCGAGCTCGAGAAATTCCAAGAAACTTCAGATGATCTCAAAAAGGATTGTAGGTTTTTTATTGGCCTTTTTTCTGAAAGGGGACTGCAAAAAAGATTATTGTTTTAGTGGAGAAGACTTCGCTCAAAGCTTCTACGACCAAGTTTTCGCCAGGAGACATCATTGAAGTGGGAAAACTATTATTTCTAGAAAATTATCGCTTTAGGTAGCGGAGGGTGAATTGGTCAACCTGCGCGGTAAAGTCATCACTATCGACGGCGACCAAGTTCATTTCATGCCGGAGCACGAGGATCTGGATGTAAACTTTCAAGCTTATAATAACCCTTTATTGTAGGAACCAATCACATTGAGCGCGGCTGATCTGCGCAAGTTCTTCAAGCCTGGAGATCACGTCAAAGTTTTGGAAGGAAAGTGAGTTTCTTTCTAAAAATTGCATCTATTGCCCGGCTTAGGTACGAAGGGGATACTGGTCTTATCATCCGCGCTGAGCCTAACGAAGTCGTGATATATTCCGATCTGACGAACGACGAGATGCGGTGCCGTCCCCGTGACGTTCAACTTTGCGCAGATGTCTCCAGCGGTGTTGACTCCCTGGGAAAATATCAATTCCACGTGCGTAATTGAGGGTTATTTTGAAACCATTTTTCTAGGATCTGGTGCAAATCGACCGGGAGACTGTTGGAATGATTACTCGGTTGGAAAAGGAGAACGTCGAAGTCCTGAATATGTACGGCAAGGTAATCATTTCCGGAAAACCGGCTCATCTAAAATTTTTCAGATTGTGAAACTCAAGCCGCAGGCGCTACTTGGTAAGAAAGAGGACAAGTGGGCCCAGGCGCTCGACCAACAAGGCAACAGTATTCAAGTCAAAGACGCCGTCAAGGTTGTCGATGGACCGTTCCACGTGAGTTTCTGTCCAGATATCAACTTACCTTCGAATTCAACTTTATTATTTTTGTTTAGAGCAGCAGACCGGGAGAAGAAGAAAAAACCGGCGAGATCAAGCACCTGTTCCGCACTTTCTGCTTTGTGCACTCGCGCAAGTTCCCGGAAAATGGTGGCATTTTCGTGACCCGGCCCCGCTGCCTCCTTCTGCAGGGCGCCAAGGTCGATCGTCAACGTGAGCATATTTTGAATGACGGGTCTATCCAAGATTCAGAGGATGCGCCAGGCCTCAGCCGGATGCCAGCCCCGTTTGCTTCCCCAAGACACGCCGGTTCGATGACGCCCGGCCCGAATGCTTCACCGATGCGGGGCGGCAGCACTCCAGGTTTGCTTTGTTCTTGGTTTCACTCAGTTTTTTTTCAGGTCCATTCCAAGGTGGCCCAGCTACGAACATTGGCAATGCAAAAGTGCGTCGTGACACCTCCATGGTGGGAAAGAGCGTGCGGATCACCAAGGGACCTCTCAAAGGGTTAAGAATTTACCTAATTCTTCAATAGCCAACTTTAGCTATTTCGGAATCGTCAAAGATGCCACAGCCGAAACGATGCGCGTGGAACTGCACGCTTCTTGCAAGGTAAGGGCCCGAGTTGATACTTATACGAATGTTTAGACCATCCTTGTCGACGCCAGCCGAATAAAGCTGGTCTCCGACGTGCCTGGTGGCGACGCCGTGTCGGATTATCTCAAGACTCCCTCCAGCTACACGGGCACCAAGACGCCGGCGTACGCTGGTAGGGATGCGCTCTCTCAGGCATATTTTATCGCTTTTAGGTGGAAACAAGACTCCGGCCTATGGTGCTCAGACTCCGGCATATCATCAAGGAGGTCGCACACCACATTATGGGGCCCAGACGCCTGCCTATGGAGATGGAGGTCGCACGCCAGCCTATGCTGACGGTCAGTCATTTCTTTGTTGTGATAAAATCAAGAATTTCGCGGGGATTTCAATGGGACTATTCCGAAAATTTAGAAAAATTAGGATTGACAAGAAGAGTTCTTCTCTCTGGTCTAATGTGAATTTGAAATACGGTCCTAGGGAAAAGTCAAATTTTTTTAATTTGAGAACGCCAGTATAATTCCGATCTTTAGGTGGACGTACACCAGCTTACGGCGAGGGTGGTCGCACTCCTGCTTATGCGGATGGTGGTCGCACTCCCGGCTATGGTGATGGCGGCCGTACGCCAGCTTATGGCAGCGAAGGCGCTCGTACGCCCGGCTATGAATGTTTGTTTCACCCTTCAAAGCCACACACTTTGTTTTCAGCTATGGGCGGCCGTACCCCGGCCTATGGTGCTGTCACCCCAGCGCGTAGCGAGCACCGCAGCCCCTCGCCGGCTTCATCATCGGACGACGAAGAGGATCGTCAGCGTCAACCTGAGCCACAGCCAGAAGTGGACTACGATTCTCCGGCGTCGCCCAATTATGCGGCCCCGACTCCGGGCAGCATGAACCCTCGCACGCCATCCGCCTACGAAAACTACCCGATGTCCCCCGGTGGATACAGCGGAAACGAGGCGACTGGATCTTCGATTCGTACGTTTTATCCAAATTTGCCGTTAGAATTATTTTTAGCCCAAAACTACCTGGACGGCGGTGAATGGCTGAACGAGGGCATGATGACGACGATCAGGAACAACTACGATAAGGAAGAGGCCCGAGGAATGCGAGGCAAAGTCGAAGAGGTTCACGATGTAAGGCATTCTTCGGGTTTCGAGAATCGATTTTTAGGAGTACTGTGTGCTTTGGGTGAACGACTTGGAGAGCAAGGTCCGTGCCTACTTCGATCAGTTGCTCCCCGTCAAGCCGGATATTGGAACATTGGTATGGATTGTTTCACAATTTTTATCGTGCTTTTAGGCACGTGTTATCTACGGCGACGAGACCGGCTGCCTCGGTACCGTTGTTTCAATCGACGGCTCTGATGCAATCATACAGGTATCGTTTCATTGGGAATTAGTAATATTAGGAAGCCTGTTTTTGCCTATTTTAGAAAATTCCATTCCTTGCTTTCAGATTGCCGAAGGCGATTTGCGTCTCGTCGAATGGGGCTGCTGCTGCCAAATCGTGCACGACGGCTGAATGGCCCCGCCAACTGCCGAGTATCGTTAGCCGTATTTATTGTCTTCTTGCGCGTTACTTGTTTTTATTTTAAAAATCTGTTCTCCGTGCTGGTATTTACCAGTTTAATCTCGGTTTGGGTGCGATAAATTTCTTTGTTAAGGTTTTTTGCGGGAAACTCACATTATCACATTAACTATTTTACACATTGTATATTATTCGATTTACGCAGATTTTGAGATATTGGTGAAGTCTACTGGGCAGTCCTAATTGTTTGATCGGCATTGTTTTGTTTATTGTTCGAGGACGGCCGCCGCCTGCACTTGTGGCTGATTAGGGTGTCGTACAAAAGTGGCAACGGCGAGTACGAGTGATTGATTCGGTCATTCCCCTCCTCTAGTAGAGTGCGTCACCGGGACCGCGAATTTGCATAGTCCGCAGCGGCACGTTCAACGTGGGCTTCCAGGCCCCGTTTCGGGCACTATTCGCCTAGTCCTGCGTTATTTCTAGCAAATGGTGCGGATACGCTTCAGCATGAGGGGTACGTCACTTGTAAATAAATCTCGAGATATCGATCCTCCCGTTGAGGCCAAAATGGTTCTTGTGCATTAGCGGGGGAGGTCACTTGTCCCATGTCCCTGTGGGTGCCTTAAAATGAAATATAAACTATTTTAATGACGTTTTGGTTGGAAAGTTTATAAAAATATTGTATGAAAAATTATCATCAATTTAGACTTTTTAGTTTTAAAGCTTTTTTGCGGCTTTAGAACCTACTAAAACAACAAAAATAGCTTCTTTTATTACTACTGAGACAAGGCTGAATAAAGGAACTTTGCCCCCGCTAAGGAACCAGCTCCGTTAAATTCTGCAGGTCTTCGCGATCGTCTGCGCCTGGCGGGCGCCTCGGCGTTTTGCCGCGAGAATGCGCTGCTGTCGATGACAATCATGGCCGTCATACTTGGTTTGCCACCTTATAAGGCTTCACGGCAATCCTCTCAGGCGTCGGCTTCGGCTTCGGGCTGCGACCGTTGAACTTGGACCCGAAGATCCTGCAGCTGATCAACTTCCCCGGCGAGATCTTCATGCAGGTGTTGAAAATGATGATTCTGCCGCTGATCTTCTCTTCATTGATTTCCGGTCAGACGTTTAGCTTGTTGTACCTTGTCGCCGCTACCTGGGAACTTTATCTATTTATTTATTTTCGTATGATTAGTTTGATGTTTATGACTTTTATGCGGCATAATTTTGTTGCTGCAGCACTGGCCCAAATGGATGCGAAAGAATCGGGCCAAATGGGTCTCTGCACGCTGCTCTACTACCTGGCCACCGCCGTACTGGCCACTATGGTGAGGAGGCGTTAATTTTACACCTAAAATGGGGATCTTTTCCATTATCGGGGGGTATAAGGGGGAACGAACTTTTTCCCTAGTATTTTTCTTCCTGCTGGAAGTGTTTCTAAGTTATTCTTACTCTTGTGGCTCAGAAAAATTACAATATCATTTTAAAATAAAAATATAGATTTTCCGCCAAAAATTCGAATTTTCGCAAATTTAAAAGTTTAAAATTTTTTAAAGGGTTTTGAGATAAGTGTCTTACTTCATCAATAGAAACGACCGGCCCGGCCGCCCCCTCCCCCCCCCCCCACAAATTTTAACGCGGCGGCGCCCCCCCCCCCCGCCCCCCCCCCCCCCCCCCCCCTCCCTTTTTCGGCCCCCCCCGCCCCCCCCCCCCCGCTCCCCCCCCCCCGCCCCCATTTATTTTTTTTTTATCCCCCCCCCCAAACCCAAATTAAATATTTTTTTTTTTTTTAAAAAAAAAAATTTTTTTTTTTCCACCTCCTTTTTTTTCCTCTTTTCTTTTTCTTTTTCCATTTAATTTTGTTTTTTTTTTTGAAAGGGGGCCCCCCCCCCGGTTGCCCCGGCCGCGCCGGCCCCCCCCCCCCCGACGAAGAGCCGGGGCCGCGCCCCCGCGGCCCCCGTCCGGGTTAAATATTACGAGCCGGGGGGGGGGGGGCCCTTTTTTTTGGAGAACGGGCCCCCCGCCCGCCCCCCCCCGCCCCAAATTTTCCCTGTCTGATAATATCAAATTTTGCTAAAAACGCCTTTAAGGTTTTAGTAATTTCTCGACTTCTTCGAAAAATTACCCCCCCCGATAATACAAAAGCACCCTAAAATGTGATACTTCAGCTCGGGATCGTTCTGGTGCTCACCATCCACCCGGGCGACCCGGACGGAATCCCCGAAATTGAAGCAGCCCATGATAACTCGACGAATGTGTCGCCGCTTGACACTTTCCTGGATTTGGTCAGGTATAAAGGCTAGAATCTCATCGTAGGTCGTAACGATATTATTTTCCTAATTGTCTATCATAATTTCATTATTCTACAGAAACATGTTCCCCCAAAATATCATCCAGGCCTCGTTTCAACGAATTCAGACGCAGGTGAGAATTTGGAACGGTTTTTTTCATATTCAACTTCAGGAAAACCCGTTCAACGCCTCGGTAACGCACAGAAAGTCTAAAAAGCTGGTGACGCGCACGCCGGGGATGAACATTCTGGGAATCATCGTTTTCTGCACCGGTTTTGGCATTATGATTTCACAGGTATCACCCAAAAAAGTGCTTTTTTATTTTCAACCCTCTAGCTCGGGGAGCGCGCGCGGATCGTTGTCGATTTTTTCGTCATCCTCGACGCCGTCATTATGAAATGGGTGGAGACGTTAATGTGGTAGGGTATTAAACACGAGAAATACTGAGATTACATTTCGGAACTTTACTCTTTACGGGGCAGAAAATCGCAAAACTGTTTCAAATGCTATAAAAATTGTTTATATTTTGTTATTTTGGGGGCGCGCGGAAAAAATTCATCGCCCCCCCCCCCCCCCCGCTAACATTTTAATAAAGTTAGGTATATTGAAAGTGGAAGAATTTTTTTAGAAAAGATTAAAAACCGTTTGAAGATTAAAATTGGAACCCAAAGAAATAATTTTTCCAGGTTCGCCCCGCTCGGGATTACGTGTCTGATTTGTGGAAACCTGCTCGAGCTCGACGATCTGAGCGACACGGCGGCGGTAAGAGACCCCTCCGCTTTTTTACCGTCCAAAATCCTAGGTACTGATGATGTACGTGGCGACGGTGATGGCTGGCTTCATCCTGCACACCGTCATCATCATGCCCACCCTCTACTTCTTGGTCACAAGAAAGAACCCGTTGGCCATTGTCCGGGGCATGCTGCAGGCCATCGTCACCGCCTTCGGCACGGCTAGCGGGTACCGTTTATGTGAACGGTTTTTCATTTTCGAAATTTAGGTATTGCACTGTTAGCGGGGGGGCAAGATTTTCCCGGTAAACCCGTACGAGATTAAGCTAGCTTTATTGAATTTTACATAATTTTGAGATATAAAAAGTTCGTGAAAAACATAAAATTTGCGAATTTTTTGACGTTTTGGTCAAAAATGTATGCAAAATGGCCAAAAAAAATAGAATTTTTCGAATTTTAAAAGACGTAAAAATATTTTTATAAGTTTCTAGTAACCAAATCAGCGGAAAAATAAAAATTAGTATTCCCGTTGCCAACCCCGCCGCCCCCCCCCCCCCGCTAACAGCCCAGTACCCAAAAATTTTCTGAATTTTGAAAATTTTTAGGGACTTTTTATTTTTAAGAGCAGCAAAAAGGCTACAAAAATGATTATATTGTATAAAGGGCTGTATTTTTTTGTCTGGTCTGTTCCCCGAGTTAACCCCCCGCTAACGGATCAGTACCGAAATTTCGATAAAGTGATTTGCTGAATCTGATAGCAAATCGTCAACTTCTCAGGGGCGCCACGCTGCCAATGTCGATGCAGTGTCTCGAGGACAATTGCGGAATCGACCGTCGGATCACGCGTTTTGTGCTCCCACTCGGCAGTACGATCAATATGGTTTTTATCAAACAACAACCATGATTTCCATCTCAGGATGGGAATGCCCTGTACGAAGCGGTGGCCGTCATCTTCATCGCGCAGCTCAACAACAAGGAGCTCAGTTTTGCCGAGGTGATCACGGTCAGGTGGGCGGTTTCATGTTTTCAGCTGCAAAAACCCGACTTTAGTATCACGGCCACCGTAGCGTCGATCGGTTTGGGTTCGGTGCCGGCCGGGCTCGTCTCCATTCTCCTCATCTTGAACACGGTCGGGCTGCCGGCCAAGGACGTTTCCCTGCTAATTACGGTGGATTGGCTACTGTAGGTGGATCTGGGTTTAGAAGCTACAAGATGGTCCAAAAATGTGGAAAAAATTCCGAAGCTCAATTTACTTTTAAAGGGATCGTGTCCGGACTGCGGTCAACGTAATTGGAGATGGATTTGCGTCGGGTGTTGTGGCGCACTTGCTACGGGTTAGTCGGTGCTTTTGCATTATCGGGGGGGGGGGTTATAAGTCCAGAAATGCCCAGTAATCTAATATCAATAATTTCAATAGTTTATAGCAAAATTTAGCTATACCCCAAACCCACCCCCCCCCTTTTTTTTTTCTTTTCCAATCCTCCTTAAAATTTTTATCTAAAAAAAACCAAAAAAAACAATTTACTTCCATTTAAAAATTTAATTTAATATAAAAAAAAAAAATAAAATTTTTACAAATTTTAAAAACCCTTTTTCCCTTTTTTTTTTTTTTTTTTTTTTTAAAAAAATTTTAAAATTTTTTAAAATTTTTTATATCCCTTCTTTTTTCATTTTATTTTAAATAATTATAAAAAAAAAACCCAAAAAAAAAATTTTTTAAAAATTTAAATTTTTAAAAAAAAAAAAAAACCCATAAATTTTCCTTTTTTATTTTTAAAAAAAAAAAAAAAAAAAAAAAAAACAAAAAAAAAAAAAAAAAATAAAATTTTTTTTTTTTTTTTTTTTTTTTTTTTTTTTTTAAATACCATTTTAAATCTTCATTTTTTTTTCCCCCCCCCTAAATATTTTTAATTTTTCAAAAAAAAAAAACCCAAAAGGGGGGTTTTATTAGTTCAAGTAGAAAAAAACTATCTAAAAATTTCCAAAGGTTTTAAACCCAATATTTTGCGCGAAAATCGTTCATTTTCGAGGCGGAAAATCGTTATTTATGTCTTTTTCACAAGGGTTTGTAAGGTTTTTACGCCTAGGAAAAGTACAAATATTTTAGAAATTTAAATTTAGTATAATAATAATAGTGATTTTAGTTAAATTTAGCCATATTTCGCGTGGAAAAATCTAAAAACTCATAAAATTCTAAATTTGTGCGAAAATTTGTTTTTTTTTTGTATTTTTTAAAACAAGAACCCCCCTCCCTTCTTTCCCCCCTTCCCTTCTTACCCTTTCCCCCTTTTTTTTTTTTTTTTTTTTTTTTTTTTTTTTTTTAATTTAAATTTTAAAAATCCCCTTCTTTTCCCCTTCTCTTCCCCCCTCTTTTTTTCTTTTTTTTTTTCCTTTTTTATTTTTTTTTTAAAAAAACCCTTTTTTTTAAAAAAAAAACAAATTTTTTAATTTTTTTTTTTTTTTTTTTCTTTCTTTTCCTCCCCCCCCCCCCCTTCTTTTTTTTCTCCCCCCACAAAAATCCTTCCCCCGACGCCTTGGGGGAAAAACCCCAAAAAAAAATCCAAAAAAAAAAAAACACCCACAAAAAAAAAAAAATTTTTTTTATCTAGACGTGGTTTGTAAATTCTTTGTTTTACCTTGTATTGATTCTTTCGCGCATTTGCCACCTTTAGACCCGACTCGAAAAATCGGACAATCGCAACGAGTTTCGCGCCGGCATCAAGGAGGAGATTGGTGCGTGTTACTGTACTTTTTAAGCTATTTTCTTGCCTTTTAGAGCTCCTCAAGTCCGCCGCGCAAAGCCAGCAGCCAAGCCGGCGCTCGAGCGCGTGGAGCGAATTTTCCGGGTATGTAAAACGGGGAGCAAGAGCCCATTTTAGGGCTTTTTTGTAGTTTATAGCCTTGATGGGATTGTATGCTATTTAGCAATGCGTACTTCCCGGCCAAGTCGTCGTTCTCGGGGTTGCCGTCAAGGGTCGTCTCCAGAAGGCCGTCAACGATCGAACAGCTGAGGTGGAGAAGCCCGTTGCTCTACCCGCCACTTCGCAATGAAATGATCTGATTTTATGATGTCGTGCATAAAGGGATCAAACATAGAAGTGCATAATTTTCATAGTCCTTTTTAGTAAAATTTAAAGATTTTCAGAGCATCTGAAACATTTCAGAAATTTTAAATTCGATGTTTTTGTCGAAAATCAACTATTTTGCTCGAAAATCGTGCTTTTGGAATTTTTCAGCCAAAAAGTTGTAAACTTTTAAAGTTTAGTCATCGAAAAAGATTTTTAGAGATGCTTCCTCTAGTTATTTTTAGAAAAATTGGATACCAAACCCCCCCCCGTTAACGCACGAGAACTCAAGGTTCCTATGTACAATTTTCCTAATAAAAATACTTAAGTTATTTTATTTTTATTAAAAAATACTGTAAAATTTTCTACAAACCCATGTGCAACTTCCCTCCTATTATGCTATTGGCAGAAAATCAGGGCGGCCCTGAAAAAGGAGCGAATCCAGTCCTCTTCCTCTCCCTTCACAGTTGGAGATTCCACAAAAGAGAGAGAGAGAGAGAGAGAGAGAGAGAGAGAGAGAGAGAGAGAGAGAGAGAGAGAGAATCGACGACAACATGGAGGGGACGATGGGGGAAAACAGTCTGAATTGGATCTTCTGCCAACCCTCAACTCTCACTTTTTACAAAGCCGCTCTCAAACCTGAGCAACGATTTTTATATCGTTTTGATGGGGTGTTGGGCAGGCTTTGGGCTCGCAGTGGCTGATTTGTAATCAGAATATCGAAATTATCAATGCCGACATTTTAAAATGCCGAAATTCAAAATGCCGAATTTCCAAAATGTCGAAATTCATATTGCCGAAAATCGAAAATGCCCAAAATTCTTAATATCGACAGTTAAAAATCTCGTAAATTCAAAATGCCGACATGTTCTATCGACATTGAAATACCTTTTAATGTCGAAAGTTTCGAAGGTTGCAACTTCATAACGCCGAAATTTTAGAATGCCGACAATCCTGTTCTAGAAAGTTATGTCAGTTCCTAAAAAAGTTTGCGGTTTCAAAATTCTAACCTGTTTTTTGCTCATTTTCATACATTTCTAACCAGAAATTCCTTCCAAATTTTCGAAAATCTAAATTTTGGTGTGTTTTTTAGCTCTAAACTATATAAGATTTCTCCCCCCGCTAATATTCCAGTACCTGGGGCCGAAACCTAGACTGCTTGCCGTCTTCCATCGCGCGAGATCGGTGCTACTTTGAGGCTTCGGGCTTACCCTGATAGAAAAAAAGTTCCTTTTTAGGGCAGGTTATAGACTGTCCCCTTATCCCCCCACCCAACCACATTTTCCGGACAAAAGGGCGGCTTTCTGCCGTGTTTCGGGTTCGGTTTTCCCGAGACTATCCCCCCTTCAGAGCCACCTCGTGCCATAATCCTCCTCCCGGCTGCCCGTCCCCTAGATCACCTATCGATTTGCCTTTTTTTTTGGTTATCACAAATCTGCTTGTCTGGATTCTCAGGACTTGGAAAATAGCTTGAGGTTTTAGTTCATTAGCGGGGGGGTGTTGAAATGTTTCTTTCGTCTTCTTTCCTTTCAGCTTTCCCTACGCTCCTGTAGACGCGGAATGATAGATTATAAACTTTCTAATGGGATTTTACGCGGTTTTCTATATAAAACGTCCGCAATAATTATTAAACGAAGCGAAAAATGTATGAAAGCGAAAAATTTTATTTTAAAAAATGGTTTTTGAACCGATTGGTAATTTTAGGGAATTTGGACACCACTAAAACAATGTACAATTGTTAAAATTCCGTTACTAGGGGGTTTAAATAAAAAAAAAGGATGTCCGGCCCCCCGCTAACGCATCGGAGCCCGACTTGGAGCAGTTTTAGTCAGCCAAGCTAAATTTTCTAAAAAATTTTGAATTTTTGGATACATGAGAGCACCTTACTGATTTACCGCCTTCCTTGCGTTTTTCCACCCCTTCCTTACAAATATTTCATGTGAAAGGGCAACCAATTTTCGGTTTTGCGAACTCCAGCGCCGCCGAGTTTTCATTCGTCGCCCCTGATGTCCCTTTTTAGCAGCCCCCAATTCCACCTCGTTTTCTCCCACTTGCCATCCCGAAATGACCGAACATCTTACATTAGAGGTTGCTAACAGGCCGGAATTCCGATCTACGTTTTTCCAAAAAACACGCTCCCCCTCACGTTTTCCCCACTGAAAAAACTGTAGTCTTCAAAATTAAAATCGTTCAGTGCTTTGGAAAAATTTATTTTATTGGTGCTTTTCTACTTTCGGGGGACCTTTTTTGCAATAGTAAGTGTTCAAATAGTGTTTCCGTAAAATTTAACTATATATTTCAAGCGGAAAACATGTAAAAATTTTAAACTTTTTCCAAAAAATTGAAATTACGGCCGAAAGCAAAAATGGTCGAAAAATGGATGTTTTTGTATTTTTATCAAGATTTTAAGGTTTATAAGTTTAGGGATAGTAAAAACAAATTAGAAACACTTCCTGTATTTATAGTAAAAAATTTGGATACAAAAGAAAAAGTAGGTTTACCCGCTGATAACACAAAAGAACCATCTAGGTGTATTCCTTGCTTGTTTGTATGTTTTCCGCGCTAACATGAGAGAGAGAAAGCGAGAGATCGAGAGAGATGGAGAGATGGGGAGAGAGAGAGAGAGAGAGAGAGAGAGAGAGAGAGAGATAACTTTTTTAAGGCCAGATGCGATGGGTGGTGAAGACGCTTGACAAGCCGCTGCAGCGTTTCTTTGAATGGTATACACGGCGCATCCTTGTTGATTATTACCTGGTAATTATAGCGGCATAAAAGGCATGATTTGCATAGGTGTTCCTCGCCTGGCCGATCGTATTGACCGTGCTGCTGGGCGGGGGTTTTGCCTGGCTGAAGGAGCTGACTCTCCTCGATGCACGGCGCCTCTACACCCCCGTTAGTGCACCATCTTGGTCGGAGGAGGCGACGTTTTCAGAGGTTTTGAAAATGAATTTTTGTGACTTAGTTTTATATTGAAGTTGCCGTTATTTTTGTTATTTTTACATTTAGTTATGGCCGATCAAACCGTACGAATTCTTGCCCGAGCGCACATTCCAATGGGACCGCTATGTGTATGTGGTTGTTCACGGCAACATCTTCCCCAACGGCTCGTACCCAAATATACTGAATGGTACGTTTTGGTGGTGCGAGGTACTCTTCAGAATCTGGTACTTTTGCGTTATCGGGGGGAGGCCGCATCGAGGGGGACATCAACCTTTTCTTTAGTATCCAATTTTTCGAATCTAAAAAGAGGAATTTTGTAAGCAGTTTGTACTGTTCTTTAGCCTGAAAACTTAAAAAAAATTTTATGAAAAATGCAGAAAAAATATATTTTTGGACTAAAAAGACGGAGTTTTTCAAAAATCAAAAGTTCGAATCCGAAAATCTTTTTGATTTTTTAGATAATGTTCCACTTGGAATATAGTTAAATTTTACAAAGAACTGTATTAAAATACTTACCAGAATTTTACAAATTTTGAGTAAAAAAATACAAAAAAATCGATTTTTCGACAGAAAAGCCGATTTTCGAACAAAATGTGCAATTTTACATTCTTTACGTATTTATGTAGTTCCCCCTGAAATATAATTAATTTTTACTAAAGAACCCTATTACAATACTTACTAGGCATTTCTGGAACTATAAAAAAAATTCGGCTCCCCCCCCGATAATGCGTAAGTACCGAGAATCTTTAGAGCCATACCTCACAAAAATCGCCGACATCGAAGAAGAGATCGCCGACAAAGTGGCATTTCCGATGAAGGACAAATGGCAGATGAACGGCACCAACTTTAACGAGACGATCACCTTCAAGGTGAGCACAGAATTGGCGTGAGGAGCACGAACTTTCCAGGATTTATGCCTGAACTGGTATGGCGACTGCTACCGGCAATCTGGGCTTGTGCAGCTGCTGAAGCGGAGGTTAGTCAAAGTAGAGAAACCGAAGGAAGAGCTTCTAGAAAAGAGCTGGAACGTCACGGGATCTCGGTCTCATATCCGGTGGCGAATCCCGAGGGCTCTCCATTCTACATCGCTTTCAATGTGGGCGGGGTCGATACTTTTGGCAACGATACGATCAAGGTAATCTGGCGGTTCTGGTTCATTAGCGGGGAGTATTTACTGCCCCAGAATTTTCGATATTTTCGCTTTGATATTTTTTCGTGGTTTTTTCCGGCTATTACTAAGATTTGTAGTTATAACCCAAAAATTCATCTAAAATAAGGAAAAAGAGAATAACCCTTAAAAATGAGTTCTGGTTCATTAGCGGGCGGGGCTATTTAGAACCCTTCCCTCCGCTAACGAGTCAGAACCAAAAAAATGGCTGGATTTCGGCATTTTTAGTGTTTTTCGGCATTTTTTCAACGATTCGATACCGCATTAAAAAATCAACTAATATCTATCAAAAACTTTTAATTACAGCTCCAAATATTTGGAATTTAAAATACCGACAAAAATCCGCCCCTCTCCCCCCCTAAGGAACGAGAACCGGGACCTGGCTTTTTTTTGCTATAGAATTTTATAAAATGGAGTTTTTAGTCGGCAAAAGCGATGCGCCTCTTCTACTTCCTTCGTTTTGACAGCCCGCAATATAATGAAATGGGAATGGCCTGGGAGGATGCGGCATCGAAATTCATCGCCGAAACCTACGCTAACCATTCACATATTACGGTAGGAATTTGATGGCTTTTTTAAAGCTATATTTTCTGTTTAGTGCCACATCAAGCATTCCCGTATCCTCGACCTGGGGCTCACTGCCAACGCCAACCGCTTGAAGCCCTACTTTGCGATCACGATCGTGGTATTGATTGCGTTTACGGTAAGTGCTTTCAATTGCTCACAAAATTACCGCAATCTTTTGGTGCTTTTGCAATAACGGAGGGGATCTGCAGGGGAAAACCTAATTTTTTTCCCATGGGCCCAGAATTTCCTATAATGTAATGGCGAGTTTTTGATAGCGTTTTTCGTGCAATTTAGCTATATTTAAAGTGGAAAATATAA